GGAATAAGCTTCATATATTACTATTATCCATTTATTCATTAATAACAAATATAATATATATAAATCAAACATAGATGTTGAATATAATAAATTAAGAGATGTTAGTATGGAGTCATTGTCAAAATTACAATATTACCATTTCACCTGATAATAACTAAAATATTCTAAGAGGCTCAAAAAATAAAGAGGAAGAAAGATAACTAAGAAGGTAGGAGATTACCACAAATTGTTTATCCGGTAAAATCTCATAACATGACATTTGATATTATTTTTCTATTAGTCTTCCTTAACTTTATGAATTACATATTGATAACAACCTACTCTCCCTATATAACTAATTTGAGATTTTTCTATTTATGTCATACAACTTTCACGTAAACATCATATCAATCTTGTTTTTCTTCCTTACACCTTACTTTGACACTTTAAATTTTTTTTTACTAATTACAACAATATGTTTATATATATTTAACCATAAAAAGAAGTTAAAATACAAAATACTTATAATTTTAAAAATACATTAAATCCCCTTTAAAAAAAATTAAATCCATAAAATCCTTTCAAATATCATTATCTAATATTTTAAAATTTCTTTAAAATTAAAATTACAAAACCTAATCATAAAATATTTAGAAAATAGTTATATCCTTACAAATTGTTTTAAAATATACATAACCTTTAAACTCTTTAACTTGATGACCTTGTGTACATTACCTCGTGTACTTTTTAAATTTTTGTAATTTTAAACTAATTGACAAAAAAAATTATAACTAGAATTTCAAAATTTATTTTCTAAAATAAGATAATGAAAAATTCTATAATCCTGGTTAAAAACAAAAAAACTACTAAGTATGCTAACTAACAGGGGTATTAACATTTATGTAATTATTCTTCTTAATCATCCACCATTTTTTATTTTTTATTATTTATTTTAATCTACTTTCAAAAGTTTTTTAATTTATCAATAAGCTTAATTATAATGAATACATCAGTAAAGACAGTAACATATTTAAATCATAACTAAGTATATTTTTATATGGTAATTTAAATCAATTATTTAAATATAAAATATAATTTATTTGTTTTATGTAATTAGAGTTGTCAAAATAAGTTATCTAGTCCAATTTGGTCTAATCCTTCAAGTAAAAAAATTTAATGGGTACCTTATATTATAAAACGAACCAAAATTTTTAGTCTAATCTAATCTTATCTTAAATCAATGGGTTAATGATTATTTTTAATTGATTAATTTTTTTCAAAAATATTAAGATATTTTTACCAAATTAAAATAAAAATATACTTTAAAATTTAAATTATATTAATGAAATTAATTTTTATTTTAAATATACTGATTTAATATATAAATTATAAAAAAATGTATCTATTTAATATCAAAATAAGAATTAAAAACTTAGATATTATTTTGTTTACTAAATTTTTAATCTAAAATAATAATTAATTTTAATCATTAGATCGTGGAATAAGTGATTGTTAGAGTCTTAATATAATATTTACTCTTAAAATAAGTGAATTTCTTATAAAGTTAATTTATAAAATGGGTCAACCTATAGGTCTATGAGTTAGTTAGCATGAGCTATGTTCATGTAGGTCATGACCTAAATAGGCTGAGCCAAAATAAACTTGATTTAATTTATGTTACAAATATTTTGTACCTCTTGCTTCTCGCACCCTCATAATTTCTCCTTACACCTCCATACCCTAAGTTAAATATCTAAAATATCCTTCCCATAATTTTATTTTTTACCTTAACTTATTCTTCTTCTTCTATTTGTGTACAACTTTTACACCTCCATCTCCCAACATTTCCATCCTTTGACTATTTGATTTTTTTTTTATCACCTTTATTGAAGGTCTTTTATAATAATTAAAGGTAAGTAAAATAATCGTTAATATTATATATGAATTATAAGTTCTTGCACTCAAATTGCACAAACAAACCTAAATTTCTCAATCTAAAATAATATCGTGAAAATGAGGTTGAATTCTAGAATAACCATGCAATTCGGATTGAGTGTTTTAGAATGTGTTTCCAGAAATACCAATCCCAAAATATATTCAGAATTGGGTGTTCTGATGTGTTTTTGGAAAAGTCTTTCTAGAAACCCATTATGGATTGGTGATGAGTCATTATATTCTCATAGTACCTTTCTGTACATATTTTAATTAGTGTTTTGGATTTAACTGTCTGTTATTAGTTAATTTTTATTAATTGGGCTTCGTTGAGCCAATAATTCATATTTTAATTAATTTGAATCTATTTGATCTAATTTTTGCTCATTATTATTTTCAGGACAGTTTAAATCTATTTTGGGCTTGGAAGATTGGGTCAGATGTCATACCAGTTGTCCATTAGGATTAGGGTTTTTGTTTCTAGTGTATTTTGTGAGTCAGTTGGGCCCAAAACTAAATTAAGATTATGATTATTTATGTTAGTGATCACGTAAGGTTAAAGGAGACACATCACGCGGAGGCACATCACAACGCACATGACAGAGTCGCATCCTCGGAACGTCAATTTCGTCTTATGCATTTTGTGTTCAAGTTTGTTTACTCTTTTGTTGTTATTTTAAATTCTTGTTTCGATTTTAATTATGTCTCTTCTTCTGCGTTTTCAATTTTCCATGGATAACTAAATCTTTGTATTAATTTTACGAGGAAAATGTAGAAGAATTTTGAGGTTTTGTTCTTCTATTTCGTTTGTTCTCTTAACTCTTCATCTCCAAATCTCAGTGTTGAATTATAATTTGTTTATGCTTAATAAACCGAAACCAATATCAATGTTTTCTTAATCCTGTGTTAGAGATGAAATTATGTGATGTATGCAATGCTTAATTGTATAAGGATAATTTGAGCTAATATTCGCTTACTTGGTTAATGTCAAGTTGGAATCAAAACCTAGGATAAATGACACTGCATTCCAATCAGGAAATCAATGTTTTCTTGTTGTTTTATTTAAATTTTATTTTCGTTAGTTTACTATTTATTATTACGCAAACCCCTTTTTCTTTTCAAATTTAATTACTGCACTATTTTATTTTAAAACAATTCTTGATTCTTATAATTTTAATTAAGACACTTAATTTTAATTTTATAAGTTACAATTATTTAAATTCTACATCAATTTAATTCTACATCATAAATTATGGGAATGCAGAAAGTAATAACCATAATAACAGTGTTTTTTCCTTGTTAAGACTATTTTTCAAACATTTCATACACTAGGTTAAACCTATTTTAATATCCTAATACATTACATAACTTAAAATACTTTATAAACTAAAATATTATTAATTATAAATTTAATTACATAAAGTGAATCAATCATCAAATAAAATCTCTACCAATTTATTTACTCAAGTACACTAGTTTAATGTTCACATGCACTTTTTTTTCCTTACTCCTTGTAATTTTTTTTCTCTTTCCTTGTCTACTCCTTATTTTTTTCTATGTCTATTGTTCTTTTCTCTCTCTTTTTTTTTCTACTTAAATTACTATATTAAAATTTAATAAAAATATATCAAAATAAATATTTTAAAATCAATATTAAAACTAAACAAAATGTTAACTAATTATTTAAATTACATAATGATAATAATTATATTTATTATAACAATAAATATATTTTTTTATTTAATAATTTAATCTAATTATAATTAACTTGAGTTATGATAATTAGTTACATGAAATAATTTTAAAAAAATAGTTATTAAAAAAGTTACTTTAAAATAAATATTTTTTTAATAATTATAATACAACAATAATATTTGTAATATCTTAAATTTATTATTTAATATTTTTAAAAATATAATATATTAAATTATAGTATTTTATATCATTTTAATATTTTTATTTTTCAAAAATAATAAAAAAATTATTTTATAAAATTTTAATTTAATATTTTTAATTGAAGAATAAGATGAGATGAGAGAAGAATAAAAGAAATTGAGAAAGAGATAAAGAAAAATAAAAAGATATAGAAAATAGAATAATAAGAAGTATATAAAGAAAGAAGAAAAAAACATAAACAAATGAGGAAATAGCGAAGAATAATATGAAAAATTTATTTCTTATTATTAAATTTTATATATAAACAATAAATAGATTTAGTTGGATAAATAAATTTAAAAAATTTAATTTAATTTTTTTATAATATATTATTATGAAATTAATTAAGAATAAATATCTTACAGCAGTAACAAATATTAATATTAGAAGATAAAAAACAATATTAATTAGTAATTACTGTTCAGTAAATTTTTTCTCAATTAATAACAACATATTTCCCATATATTATTAGTGATACTATTCTGATTTTTTTTTTAATATTTCCCCATATTGTTAGTAATACTATTTTGATTTTGCTATATTTTATTCTTTTTATATATTTTGATTCTTTCCAGCACCAATTCGGCGAAACCCACACACCATTCCCCTGATGTATTTCTGAGTGTTCGAGGTTAAGCTAGATACTCACCATCCTCGCCCAAGTCACTTCCTTCAAGTTGTTAGCCCTTTTTCTGTTCCTCTATTTGTGCCCCTGCACCACTACTTGCTTTACTGCATTTTTTTATTCTTCCTCATGCTTCTTACTTCTTAATCACTTTTTTTGCCGGGGGTTGAGTCTGACCATAGAATTTCGGTCCACCCAGTATCTTCAGAATGCTTTATGTGAGGTAAAGTCTCCGACTTTGATGTAGTCCCTTATCTGGGTCTGTCTCCCTATTCCCTTTTGCAAACTTTGCTTTCTGGGTGACATTTTTTCTAGCTACATGGTTAATGTTTGACGCCCAATTTGATTATTGAGACTGAAATTATAAACTTGGGTGCAATTTTATGACATGGATTGTTTTTTTTATTTGATTGTGATCAAAATGGTGAAGGCTTCTTTAATTGTCTGCATCTCCGTTATTCTCATATATGCGTTTCTGCATTATTCTGGAGGTTTCTCTGTTAACACTATTTTGATTACTGTGATTTAGGGATTTTTGGAGACGGCATAGGAGGAAGGTTTTCATAACTGTTGGTGTTTTGGGAAGTGGGTATCTTTTGTATAAGCTTTATGGTGCCCACAGGCATGGGGTTCAGGAACTTGAAAGAGAACTCGCAGTTCAGAAGGAAACTGAGGAGCTTATGAAGGCTCAGTTGAGTGAAATATGCACCTTCAGTGTTTATGCCTTCTGCGTAGATTAGATAGTTAGATGTGTTTTTTGTGATCATGAATTTCGATCCAGTGGCTAGAGAAAATAAATGCTGATGGCATGCCCTTTTGTTTTTTTGATTGACAATGATAGGATGCAAGCTCATTTTGAGAATATTCAGAGGATTTCTGATGTAACGTTGCCTCATGCTATGCATGACTTAAGTTGTCGGATCACAGAAGAGTTGGATCTTTCTCACCTTCTTGAAAGGCTAATACAAGGAAAGGGTCAGCCAAACAGCTTAACACAATCAGAGAAACTAGATTTGTGGAGTAGACTCAAAATTCTAAGTATGAATGAGGTCTTGGATTCCATGATTGTTATGCTATAGCTTTGTGGTCTTAATTATTAATTACCCTGGATGCAATAATCAACTGATTAAAATGAACATCTGTGCATTTTCTTTTTTTCATAGGTTTTACAAGAATGACATTGTCAGTGTGGGCTACAACAATGATTAGCTTATATACAAAAGTTCAAGTCAATATATTAGGAAGACATCTATACATTGATACAGCACGAAGCCTTGGAATCTCTGATTCATTGGTAAGAAAATCGTCTTTCCTCTTTCCTTTTATACATGGCTCTTACCAAAGATTGATTGTGTAGTGTTATTTGGATGCTTTGGGCATATTTGTATTATGAAGGAACCCCATGGCATGCCATTCTCTGTTAATGGAGTTGTGGCATCATACATAATATGTAGATGCTATCCAACATTTTTGTAGTATGCCTTACCTTAGATAATTTTGGATTTCCAAAGGGATTTTTCATGATGGAATTGATTTATCACTGTCTGTGTGCTCATAGAACGTGTGAGAAGTGAAAGGAATTTCTGACACAACACCTTATTACCAGTTTCTCTTATCCAAAAGTGAGTTAACATGCTTGGTGACACTTTTGTGAGTATCAGGTAGACTTTCTGTTTACTATTTGTGAAACTTCTGGCTTGGATAATTGATCACAGTTCAGTGACTGATAAAAAATGTTTAGGTAGTTTAACTTAACCAATTATTAGTGAATATATTGAAAGGTATATGAAGCATAGACACTTCTATAACATGAGTTGTCAGAGTGTCAGGCACATTTCTAACATTGATATCTCTCCAACACTTGCAGCACGCATGTTGGATACTTCTCATTCAGTGTCTGCTTATAACATGTTCTATATTAGTTCGGACACTTGAGCCATCACTTTCATATGACTTGAATACTTGAGCCAGCACCTCAAATTGGATGGTTACTTCTAGGTCATTAATATGAAAAAAATATATTTATATATGTTTTAACATTGAAAAAGTCAATTCAAAATGTAGTATAAAAGATAAAAGAAAGGTACTGTGTCTATTTTCGTGGCTCATTATCATACTCATAAGAATGTGCATATATAAGAATTATTTTACATCTTCCGATATGTATACTTATTTTAACTTAATTAATGTAAATATATAGTCCCCCATATATATTTACGTTAACTGTGTTGAAATGTTCATGCTAATGTGAAATCCAGTCTTCATGCTTCATAGGGTGTTATCTATTGTTTTTTTTTGTGTCGTGGGTTCTCTTTTGTTATCTTAAGATTGTATTTCAATAATGAACTTGTTTCTGGGACAAAGGGGAAAGAGAGGGGAACTATGTTCTGTTGTTACAATTTTGAGGCTTTTGCTCAATTGATTGAAACAACACATGGGTCAAATCTCAGGGTAAATCATAATTTCAAAGCTTTCGAGTCAAATTCTTTGGGGAATGTTTTTATTGTCTTCGTGATAAACTTTTAATCACAGCAAAAGAGCCATATTTCAACTTCTATTCTAATATACTTGTCACCAAATTGACGTATGACATGGCTCATTGAATCCGAAGTAATTTTCTTTTCTTCACTGTTTCTCTCTATCTGCAGGAAAGTGTAGATGTGGTTGATAGGGAAGATCAGAAGAAATTTCTAGATAGTGTTGATTTTCTCTCTCAGCATGGTATGCCTGCCTTGATTTCTGATATGGAGGCTGCAGCAAAAGAAGTTCTCAAAGGGTGATGCTTCTTAACATTAATTTAAACTTTGAAGGTCAACAATTTGTGAATTGAATCTATCAGTCATTAAAAATCTTATCTCAGATAATTTGTATTTTAAGGCATAGGATTTGGAAGTATCCAAGTCTATGTTTTAAAACTTCCCAATCTGTCAATCTGTTCTTGATTAAGTTTCTGATTTGAGACCCAGAGTTTCCATTTGTTTTCAGTTCATCAAACTGGAATAGTTATTCACTCGGTGAAATTCAAAGTTTAGCTACAAAAACACATTAATGCAACCCTTAACCAGCCTCCTGTAGAAGTTAGCTGTTGATAAATAATAAAATAGTTCACCGAAAATTGTACCTCCACTTGATCTCATTTGTATATGTGAATAGAGAGAGAGAGAGAGAGTAGTCAACCATTAGAGATAATCATTGGGTTGGAACTTGGAATTATGGACATAATTTATAGAATCTAGACATATATATTATAGATTAATGATCAAGACTTGTTTTAAATTGGTTCTTGATAATTTCTATGTGCAGAAAGCAGTTGAGTACTTTCTTCAACAGCACAACGCTTCATGAAACTGTCATGCAGATACTCAACACCTTCATGAGCATGGGGAGTCCAAATTACTGGATAAAGTATATGATACCTGAACTTGATAAACCGTATTCCTCAAATTCTAGAAGTGATGATCCAGTACCATCTGACGTGACTGAGTATGATCAACTTATGATGGAAGCACGGGCAGTATTATCAAGGTAAATGTTTTGTTTTGGATGCATTAGTTAATTACGTCTTCCTGCAAACTCAATAGATCTGTGACAACCATGTCCACGAACACACTTTTTTATTATAATGTGAGGGATCACTGATGCGCTAGTTGATATTTGAGAAAATATTTGAGAAGAAAATCTTAAATTTGCAGTAAATTTGTAGAAAACAAAATCTGCATTAAAATATTACATTAATCAATCGCATAAAGCCTTTTGTATGGCTAGGATCTGCGTTTATGTTATGCCTGGCCCCTTTCCACTAAGACATGCGTTTCTGTGAAGCAATTTTGTATAAAAATTTCTGTATATAGCATTTTTTATCAGCCATCTTACAATGATTGTAGTTTTAGTCATTTGAAAAATTTTCAAATTGATTGATGTTCTTAAGTTTCAATGAAACATCATTTTTTTTCTTCCTAATCTGTCCCCAAATTAATTACCCTCTACCATATCAACAAAAAAGTAATTACTCTCTAAAAATGTGGCATATTTGTCGTTATTTTGAATCTGTTTGAAAAAACCTTAAACTGCAGTCATTGTAGGATGGAGGTAGTAGCCTTGAACATACTTTCTAACACAATATCAATGATTAAAATCTATTAGAAATCCCACAATCATAAATAGAGTCATTAATCAGAAGTGAGTCCACAAACTGTGTTTATCAGTAAATTAGGGACAGTAGTGAATAGTGTGTTCATAAGAGTGTAAAGATAGAATTTGTTGAGATCAAACGTACTATTTTGAAAGGATGAGAAATGAATAATTCTTCTTGTTTTGCAGTGGTGAATTTGAAAGGGTTGTGGAGATATCTCTGCAAGCAGTGGTGGATACAGTGGTGGAGCTGATGGGGGATAAATTTAGTGGAGGAAGTATAACTGCGGGCCTGCCACTGGCCAGAGTGTTGCCTCAGGTTGCACAGATGTGTCCTTTGGTCCTTGAAGAACCCAACAAAAATCAGTTCATCCAAATCATTAAAAATATACAGGAGGTTGAACTTTTTTTCACACTCCTCTATGCAAATATGCCACATGCCTAGTCATTAACATTCATGTTTCAAATGAAAGAAACCAAAAGTGATTAAATTCATTGCATGAAAGGCATCGGACAATGTACAAAAGATTAGACGAGGTTGAAAACAGAGAGAGATATAGGAGCTAAATTATTAGCTTTCATCTTTTGTCACCTTTCCCATTTGTTGTAACTAGTGATGCATAATGCTCCCCCTTTGGCTCTAACGTGGCGTTTGGAGGAACCCTTTTTTTAGGACTATAGCTTGCTTTATTATCACTTCTGTACACACGGGAAATCACTTTTATCATCATTTCTTCTATTTTCTTTGTTCATGCTCTGATTCGCCTTTCATATTTTGTTATACCCTTTTATCAGTTTCTGCTATACTGGACTCTTTCCCTTTTATTTAAGGTCTCATATTTAAGGCTAATAACTCTATTCCATTAATATTAAAAAAAGTTATGAATTTAATGAATTTTGTTTGAGGTTTTATTTTATTTTTTGTATTTTAAAGGAATGGATTTTATTAGTAATAATAAATAACATAAAATAAAATAGAATATAATAAAATAATTTATTATTAATAATTAATTTTTTTAACATTAGTTCGTTAAATTTAACTCAACCAATTTAGGTTTTATCATAATAAGAAGTAGCTATGTTCGGAAAACATTCTTAATTGAACTATAATATTTTAAATTGTAAAACAAATGAAAATTATTACCAATTTTTTTGGCACAAGTTTTCATCAATCATAAAGATTCAAAATCCAACTTATTATTAGATGCATTAATTGATGCAGAAATAATATTAATAATACTTAAGTTAATCGTAGCACTAAAATAGATATCACAATAATCCCTGTAAAATAAGGGTAAAAAGAGAGACGTTGAATTATATAGTAAGTGCCTAATTTAGGGTTAGAATATATAATATCAATTGTAGTTGTATATTATTATTTGTATTAGCAAATTTATAGCAATTGGTTCTATGGTGTAGTGGTTGGCACTCTGGACTTTGAATCCAGCGACCTGGGTTCGACTCCCGGTAGGACCTACTTTTTTTATAACATTTAATCGGTTTGAATATTTTTTAAGCCTACATAAACGGGTCAGCCCAATACATTTTCATTTCGCCCATAACAGTGTGTTACTCTTCTGTTTGTGGTTTGCAGAAAACAGCAAAAGTAACCATGGCCGAACGAAGCAATGGGGACGTTCTGATGCTGGAAGCCCCACCGTCTTATGGCAGACCTACCAGTTCGGACGCCGAAATCATCGACGCATTGCCTTACATCGACGACGACTACGCCGATCCCAGAGTCAAACTCGAGGTTGACCGTCTCGTCGACGATGAGATGCGCCGAAGCTCCAAGAAACCTACAGATTTCCTCAAAGATTTCCCTCCTCTTCCCAACTCCAATTTTGAGGTTCTCTTTTTCTCTATTCACTATTTTTTGGTAGTTTAAGATGAAATGACAATCGCAAGTTCGATTCGTAACCTAATTGTTATTTAATTTTTAGTGTTTCCTGCGCAATTTAATTCAACCTATTGTCCGCATGAGATAAGTAAATCACGGTTGAAATACATATGCTGCAGTTGGTGCTGGTGAAAAATGTCTTTTCCCTAGTTCTTTTATGAGTGTGATTGTTGTATTGCAGAACTACCCGATGATTGCGAGAGAGTACGAACGCGTGAGAGCTGGAAGGCCTCCTGTTGCTCTTGATAGATCGCGCTACGAATTGGAAATGCCGCCAGCGAATAAAAGAAACGATGAAACTGCTTGGAAGCAAGCTCTTCATAGAGCTCAACGCCTACTGCAGTACCAGATGATGAGGTATGTTAGAATTTAATGTTAAATAAATACCCTGAACTACGTGGTGTAATTCTCAAACCTTAGTGTTCTTTACATCGACGATTTTTTAATTGCTAATAAATTGTATGTTCTAGCGCTTTGTTTTGGCACTTAGTGTTCCGTGCTATATGTTTGGATGAGAGATGGCTCTCAAACTATTATGTATCTAATTGTTTCAAAAATACAAATGGTATGTTCACTAGCATAGGTCTCCCAGTTTTAGTCTCTTTCTCATGTGAGGCTTAATGACTTCCTCACTTAGAATGAATTGTGAGGAAAACTAATTCACGCATATGCCTTACACGAAACACAAGAAATTAACCTATGCTATATTTGTAGCAATCCAATGTTGGTTAAATTGCAAATAATTTGGACAGTTTGGCTGCTTTCTAAATATAGTGATATTGACCAACTTGGATTGGCAATGAACTTGGGCTCTTAACCAAAGTAGTTGAAGGTCGATTCCTTTGGGAAGTGCAGAAAACTTGGAGTTGAGAGGGGATGTCCACCTATTGGGTGGCTGTCAAACCTTCGACCGAGCTTAGTTACCGTGTTCAATAGGGATACTTCTTGGTAATGAACAAAAATAAGATATATATACTGCAGTGTTATAAAAAATTGGCCATGGTGGTGACAGAGTTGTAGTTGGCCACTACGACATGGCAATGGCTATGCTGGTTTTCCATGGTGGTCAGGCATTGCGGAACGGACTAGGTGGAAATTTCATCACGGAACGCTAAGAATGTCCATAGAATATTATCAGATTTGTGCCCCCTTTTGGAAGGAGAAGAAGCCTCGTCCCAGACCTGGGGCAAAAACCCAAATTATGTTTCTGCTACCAGACTGTCTTTCAATATTTTTTTACTGCAATTATATTTCTGCATTCTTATTATGTCCAAAATTTATCTGCCATAACCTGTTATCCAATATATTTCTATGAAAGATTTTTGTGTTACTGATATTTTGAGTTATCCTATATCAATAACACTGATATAGTGAGGATAGCTGTCCACTCTACTATTATTAGGTGTAGTTGCTTCCAGAAAATTATCAAAGATTATGGCTATACTTTTAACATCTGTATTGATTTCATAAAGGTAGTTTTTGCAGTTCTTTAGCAGCAGAAATAATTATTGTGTTACGCAGATTGAAGTAATTTTTAAAAAATACTGGTAGGAAGTTGTTAACAGTTGTTTAATTGGTTGATAACTTGATATGCAGGATGGAAAATTTGGATTTGATGTTAAAATATGGTCCTGATACGTGGAAACTACACAACCATCGATTAGAAGTATACTTATCAAGGTTTGTTGATTGAATAAATGTGGGTCATATTTAGATTTTGTTTTAAATTACACAGTTGCTACCTCTTTGCCATCAATCTATTTTCTTGCCTACTGGCTTGTAAAACCTACCGTCATCAAGGCAGGCCTGCCTTGGTGCATATGACTTGGCACTTGTAATTTTCAACTTAAATTTCTCACCTTCAGCAGAGAGACTAAGCTTTATTGATTTGGTTCTTGGGATTGGCTTTTGAAAAATGGATGTTTCATTAGATGATGTTGAGACAGAAAGCCTCAGATTTGCTTGAGGATGTCCCCCTAAGTTTCTTCGGACAATAATTTTTCATTCCTATGATTATAATTCCTAGGTAAAATATTTTTCTGTTCAGAAACCTTTCATACCCATATTTGGTATAAATGTAGATTTCATATGGCTTACTCCCTCGATTATTTATTTCATAACAATACTAAAGTACCCACACTACTCTCATGTCACTACCACGTATTGTTCCCATTGAAAATGAACAATAATCCCCCTTCCTCCGTAAGTATGATCTGGTGGGAATTAACCTAATAAAATATGCCTGTGAATAAGATTAGCTGTTTAGGCCTCTACAGTTGTTCCTCCATTCTCTCACGAGAAACACTCCCTCAACAGGCACAATTCACATTCATTTTACCAGTGTAAATAATAGATCAAAAAGATGTTGCCAGAGCAGCTGAGGTTAATAACACTACACCTGTTCGCCTACATAATTCATGTTTCGTACGGCATTGGTTATAGTTGTGTTATCTATTTTTAGAATGCAGAAATTAGCTCAAGAACAAAATGAAAAGATTGAAAAAGTAAATCGTGAAAGGAAATATCATCAGGTAAATATCACTTACCACGCTTCTTTTCCTTTTGACTTGTTAAATTAAATCTCTGCTAACCTTTTATTCTTAAAACTACTGTCAGCAAAATACTGCGTATGAGCTTAATGCATTGTCCATGCAATGGAAGGAGCTCTGTCAGAAGAATATAGATATAAATGTTGCTTGTGTTTCAGTTGTAAATCGCATAAATGAACTGAAAAGAGAAGCAGCAGAAAGGTGACTACTACGAGTATGTTGGTTTTCTCGGCTTATTTCCTCTAGTTTTGGTGTTAATTAGTTTATTTTTTCAGAGGCTGGAACCTGGAAGCAGTGACAGAAAATGGTCAATTGGCGAACGCCGAATTATGATGAGATTCGGATGTCCTCAACTAGTTTTGTATCCGTAGGAATTTGTTCACCTCTAAACTTGACTTTAACTGTATTGGTACCTCTTAATGTTACTGCAAGTGATAAATGTCGATTCCAATTCAATCCAAAATGAAATTATTACATTATCAAATCGGAAGTAGCCTGAATGATTTGGTAAAGCCATCAGCATTCCAATATGTTGGCATAATTCATGAGGAGACACGTATTGATTTCCGAGTCATTGTTGACGAAATTTTTAGCAACTGAAAAACTTCAAAACAATATATTTCATTGATAAAAGTAATAAAAAATTAACTAAAGAAAGTTAGATTTCTCACTGCGGGAATATTTATCTGAAAAATTTGGTCAAAAACTATTCCTATGATTTATGAGAATAATGGTTTTCAAAACGTAAACCATATGAAAAACATATTTTCCTAATTTCAAATTTCAATGAGGCTCAAATTAGAAATCTTGTTTAAAGAGATAAAGTCTAATATCAGCCGGATTAATTGTAATTGACATACATATAAAATTAAGTACTCTCGTTATTCCACTGCTAAGAGTGGTCATTTTATTATTATACATTCAAAGGAAAAACCGTTATTGACCAAAAACCCTCCTCCTAATTTAGCATTATATTTTTCATATTAATATTTTATTATAAAACTAAATTAAGTCTGTTTGTTATACTTTAAAAGAGATTTCAATGTATATCCAAACAATATTTATTTTGTGAACATCGCAGTCAGCTAAGTATCGAGCATAGATACTTCAAACTCAGATTTAACCATAATTAAGATTATGAAGACAAATAAACTCTAACCAAAGCAAGGCATAAATACGAACATGTCATGCTTTATTAACTTCTAAAGTTATGGAGATTAAATGTTTAATGAAAAACAAAAGTTATTCATTACAGCTCGAATTGTTATAATTCAACAAAGCATTACAGATGCCCCAAAATTTTATCCTAGTTGTTCTGTAATCCTCTCCCTAACCAAATCTATGTGTCCTTTAAAAGTTTCAAAACAGAAAGAAGAAAAGAATGAGAAAAAGTAAAAAAAAAAAAAAAAAGAATTCCTTGATTTGCCAGCACAATCTGAACGAATAGAATCTCAGTACGGTTTAATCAGTTGGCACTGTGCAAAGCGACCCATGTCCAGGACTATGCTCCAGGGGATATATGGTTGTTCTCTTCACATACCGTAAATGATCAAGTGCCGCCTTCCTGAGCTTTGAAACTGCATTTAGATTTCTTTTTACTTGCTTCCTGATTATGGAACATGCAGCCAGTGGATCTTCAGATCCTGCTCCAACTCTCCTGTAAAAATCATAAATTTGAGTCTCCAAATAGTCTCCAAATAATCTCAGATTCAATCAATCCGTAATCATACTAAGCTCAATTAATATTGAACAGCGATAATATCATGCCATCATGTTCAGGTGGTGATGATCAACATTATATGCTCATAGAATAGTGAACTATTGATAGCATTTACTTTTACAATTGAACGGATAATATGAAGGTTCATAATAGTGAATCAGGACGGCATTCAGAATAGTAAACCAGCAGAGCCGTTTGACTGATGTCAAATGCAGTTATACTACAGGGTCATGACCTATCAATACTTTTGAGGCCTTCCGATAGAATAGAACATATCAAAGACCAATAATACCATTCTGCTTATGAACACTACCAACAAGGTCACAACAAACGACTAAATAATATTCTATTAATTTAACACAACTTTATATTTGACTTAATAGAGCAAACGCCAAGAGATATTAAGAGACTTGTACCAATAATTATACATTTATACCGAAGGTACGAGGTAGAATCAATACAAAACTGTTTCAGGATTAGAAAAACAAAAACAGGGGGTGGGGGAATGGGAAAAAATCATTTACCTGAGTAATTTCTCGGATGCAATTCTAGCAGCCCTTATACTATGGTGACTTGGAACCCATTTTACAACACGATTAGGATCAGCTCGCATGGGAGAATGAATTTTGATAAGCTTGACAATGGGAGCAGATAAAAAAAATCAATGATTTGAAAAACAAGAAATATGATTGTACTTGTACTATTAAATATAAATTCAACAAGGAATATACATTCTTGCTAGTGATTTATGCGTAAGTGTGAAACTTCAACATTTAACATAATTCTTAGCCAATAATGTTGAAAATCTATTCTCCTTTTGGTTCCAAAGGTAAGTTATTAGTATGACTTGAACCTATGACCTCCACACATATGGCTTACGTACCCCCAAGCATTCCATCATCTGGTAGTAAGCTCTACCATGCAATGGGGTATGGCCTTGACGGGATTCAGAGAAATATCTTGTCCTAAAAGAAATAAGGATTATTGATCAGGTACTCGTGAACCAAGAAAGAAGTATTTAACCAGTGATAGTAATTGCCAAACGAACATATAATACCATTCTTTATAACCAGGATCAACAGTGAAACCATACATATCCACTGAATCGCACATAGAGAGAGCAAATTCAAGAGCCTTAAGTCCAGTTCCTTTTGCCGCTGAGCCAAAGGATGCACCTAGCATGAGGTACACGGGATTTTTTATAGGAACCTCCTGCAGAAGACAAAGACAATTGCTTTGCAAGTGCAACATAGAATGTGTGATTAAAATTAAGGATTTAGAGGGTGGTTTCCTTTGACAAGGAGATATACCCGAATCATTTTGTTCATGATATCATGAATTGTTGTTTTTATTATCAACGCTTCTTTTCTTTGTTCTGCAGAGAAAGCAATTTCTAGTAAGGATATAGTAATTCATAATCGCATTGCAGTAAGTGGAACTCATGATAATAAGTGGCAATACCATCTAACTCTACAACTTTATCCAGTGCTTTGGCGGATCCTCGGTTTAGAAGGCGAAATGTGCTTTTCCTACCCACGTAGTCCGTGTAATTCTGTAGTCATAAGAGGTCTTAATTTTTGGGATAAAATAAAAAGAACACAAGAAACATCCTGTTGAGCGACAAACCTGTATTGGAGCACCATTTTCTCGAATGACAACATCATAACCATCTATCTCCTTTCCAGATTTTGTTTTCAAGAGGTCTCCTGAATTACCAATAACAGCACATCGCCCAAACTGTCTAGGGAAGTATGGTGGTGTTTCAGGGAGAACTAGTGAAAGTTTCTCCATGCACAAGGTTTTGTTCTCACAGCGGTTGCTGCAACACAGAAAGATTCTATTATGAGACTTCACACTAGTTTTAATTTCCTTCTATCAAGAGCCTCTGACCTCAATACCATAACTAATTATAAATTATATACATTAAACATGGAACATGATATCTATGCTCTACAGTGAGAAACTTAGGTTGTATTAAGAAATTGAGTAGAGTGAAATAGATAACTCAGAAAAGGTTTCATCTCCTCTATAAGAGCATAAGGTTTGCTTTCTAACAGCAAATTAAAAATGTCTTAGGACCGAAAAACTGACGGAGTATCCTAAATGAAATAAATGAAATTTAGTTTGGCGGTCATTCTTATAGGATACCATTATTTCATAATTACTTAACCGTTCCTTAACATTGAGTTGCACTTTACTTACAGCTGTATTCCTTTATTGATCCTACGCCATGCATATTCCTCCCATCCATTTGGTAAAGAATCAATGAATTCCTTGGTGAGTATAGTGGTACTGTTCCGCACCTGAGAAATCATTTCAAGACCTCAGTTCCTTTTACATTTAAAAAAAAAAACTAATGAAAGTAAGACAGAGCTTCACATAGATTAAAATCATCAGGATGATAGATTTCTGACAAATCACAATCACGAGAATAGAGACTAAGTTGCTAACCTGTTCCCATGTAGCCACAGCTTCACATAGATTAAAATCAAAAGACAGAGCTTCAAGTTCTCCAGTTTTTGGATCTTTCTGTTAATGCAGAAAGTTCCAAATATCAAAAAATGGGTTAATTGTTTAACTAATTTTAAACAATGTGATTATATATAACAACACCCATACTTCTGAATTGGAGGAAGTTATTTCCCCCCCAACTTGTAGGTTATCATAATTAACACATTTTTAAAAATCACATATTGCAATGAATAAGAATATTTACCCATTTGGGGATGGTGTCACTGGGGAAATTTATTGTGGTTTGGCAATAATCCGCGCCCCTAGTTGCTTCCAGGCCAAGTCCATTAGCACTCTGCATATAACTCAAAATTAGCGACTAAGTTGAATTATTAAGTGCTGAAACTACAATAAAACATATTGCAACCAAAGAACTACAAATTACTCTAAAATAAATACCACACAGATGGGCAATTAAAACTAATTAAACATTATCAGTTTTTAACATTAAAAAGTTACTCTTCTGAAACTTAGTAGAGAAGTTTCCATACCATTAAGGCAAATGCAGCAGCATAGAAACCACTAAACAAAACAAGCTATGCTTCGGAGGGAACAAAAACCAGAGAAACAGAGTGAAACCTCACCACACACTTCTGGAAAGTGTTGTGCAGCGAAAGCAAAGCTTCCGTGTCTTCATCTGTGAGGTTATAACTGGGATCTGCGTGGTTAAATTATCATTATCATCATTAGATTTAACGCAGTTGAAGTATACTCTTACAATTCGAACAAGATATAGGCAAATACATACACACATACATACAAAAGGATCAGAGAGTCCGGTGATGTAGATGGAAATGGCTGCAAAACCAGATGCCAAAGCGAGAAACAAACCGAGCTGCAGAACCCTCATCGGATTAGTGAGTTGCCGACAAATCGAATTGGTGTTTATTTGTCGATTGATTATTGCGATAGGAGTATAACCACCTCTCCTCACACTCCAATTCAGACTTCAAATCTTTACGCATGTGAACGGAATTGAGTGTGAATTTGATTTTCTTCGGTTATTTAATTCAAATTAAAAAAATCACTCTATAAACATTGGGTTTTTACCTAAGTTCATTATTTTTTATCACTCCATTACTTAACGCTCAAACTATAAATCTGGTATATTAATTAATTAATTAATTAAGAAACATCTCTCTCACTATATATATATATATATATATATATATATATATATATATATATATATATATATATATATATATATATTAATTAGCTATAGTATCAATAAATTTAAAATTAACTATTTTTAGTTTTAAAATAATTTTAAAAGTTTTTTATTCCTTGGATAAAAAAATCTTTATTCCATTAGAGTTAATTTATTAATGCAATAGTGTCCAACAACTATAATATTTATATATAAAAAATAAAAAGTGGTGATAAAAATAATATAAAATTTACATTAATGATAATTTTATTGGTACAAATTACAATATTTTTTATATTTTCTTAAATTAAATCAAAATCTTAGTTTTTTCAAAATTTACATAAAATTAATGTAAGAATGTGAAAAGATAAATTTATTATATTTTGATGTTTATTTTTTTATTATAAAATGAGTATAATGTCTATCTTGTAAATCACTCTTAAATATATTTCTTTTCCCTTTTATTAGGGTATTGCATATTAGTTATAATTTCTTCCACTAGTAAAATTATATTATTGTCTATTATTGATTTTGTTTAACTTTTCTCTTCTTTTATTTTACTTGTAAATTCTTATATGATTACTTTGATTCCTAACAGTGATTTCTTAATATATTTTGTGGTTACGGTTAAACTGATCTTCCACATTAGAAAATAATTATTCTAGTTACTCGTATATAAAGTATAGTAGTGTGACAATGCATATCTATGAAAAAGTTTTGGCAAAAAAAAACTTGGTATTTAAGTATGTCTATTAGTGACTCACATATCTTCTCTAAGAGCTTACTTGGTGTACTATTTACGGTTTACGTTGTTATTCCAGTAGTTAATATCTTTCATAGTGAAAGGTGCATAAGTCAATTAAAACCATGACAACAAAATATTAGATAGAGAAGTTTAATGAGAATAATTTTTCATTATAAAAATTGAAGATAAATGCAATGAGAAAAGACAATTGTGAAAAAGCAATTAGAGAAAGACCGTTGACAACACATATCAAAGGTGAGAATACATTAACAATAACGCTATAACAAATATGTGGAGAGGAGTATAACGAAGGAGATTTGAGAATCCTTTGTCAAATTATATGAGGAGGAAACATATATTGGACTTGGTTTATTATGATGTATTGGAATCACTAGTTTTATCCCTAGGAGGAACCAAATATTTTGTGTTAGTGGTGACAATGATTACTCCAGGAGATTATGAGTGTATCACATCAAGAGGAAGTCTGTGTTTTCAAAGTTAGAGAAAAAAAATTTCTTGGACTATACTAACAACGTGAAATGATGTTTCTTGTGGATCCCACTATCTACAAAGTTATTGTTAGCGGTGATATAAATATTATTTTTCTTCAAGGTAAACTTAGAGAAATGATTGATGTGCTCCAACCAGAAGACTTAAAGAAAAAGGAAACTTGGTTTATATGTTGACCAAATCTTTGTATGGTTTAAACTAGGTGTTAGTACAAGAGATTTGATTCTTCATGATTACAACAAACTAAGTTCAGACTTATGTACCTATTACAATAGATTTGATAAAAATGATTTTATAAATTTGTGGATGACATGTTGGTGGTAGGTTCCAACAAAGTTTGAATACAGGTTTTGAAAGCATAGTTGACTAGGAAGTCTGATATGAAGAACTAGGGACCAACAAACAAGATTTTAAGGATGCAAATTCACTAGGACATAAAAGATAAGAAGGTTTTGTTTTATCAGAAAAATTACTTACTGAATGTCTTGCAATGCTTCAACATGCAAGGGTGTAAGCCACCAATTTCTATCTCAGTTTTTATAAGTTTTCCTCAAGTATCAATCATAACAATGAAGTAGAGATGATGAAAATGTCTCGCATATTGTATGTATCAACAGTGATAAGTCTTAGGAATACCATGATCGGTACAAGACCAGACATTACATAAACAATGAGAGCAGTTAGTAGATCAATGAAAAACTGTGGTGAAGAACATGAGTATTATCAAGAGAGTTCTTATCAAAGGAACCTTTGATGTTGTATTATGTTTCGGATGATCAAAACTAGTTGTCAGATGTTATATTTGTTCAAGTTTTGCAGGTGATCTTAATGAAATTACCTTTATTGGAGAAGCAATAACTAGTTATCCAAGTTATATGATGTTGTAACTCTGTTTATCACAAAGTTAAGTATATGAAAGTCACTCAGACATATAAGGAAACTACTTTGATTAAGAGGATAATGGAGGAACTCGAACGCAAACAACAACAAATTTTTGTAGATTGTGACAGTCAAAGTGTCTTGCACATTGCAAGAAATATCTCGTATTTCAGGATAAAACAAGAAGAACGTAATAGATGTTATGACAGTCAGTTAGCACATTACAAGGAATCATACCTCATATTTCAGGATAAAACAAGAAGAACATAACAAATGTTATGACAATAAGTTAGTAATGAAAAATTTTCATAAAGGCGATCCTACTGTGCGTGCAATAACAACATGAATAATAATAATAATATATTGTGAAAATTTGATTAATTTAATCAAAATCTTCAAGTGAGAGATTTTTAGAGAATGTGAAAAGAGAAATCTCACATCAGAAAATTATATGTTAATGCTTACTTTTTCTATTATAAAAGAAGTACCATGTCTATCTTATAAATCACCCAAAAATTTCTTTCTTATCCTTTTTATTAGTGGATTGCATAGTAGTTGAATTTTATTATTTTTGAGAAAGAATATTATTATTATTTTCTCCTAATATTTAAAATAGGATATTGTATTTTTTCACAACGAAAATTCTATTATTACCTATTGTTGATTTTATTTTATTTTTTTCATCTTTTATTTTAGTTATAAGTTTTTATGATGTTAATCTAATTCCTAACTCTTACATCATATTGTAATTATAAAAAAACATTTCGTAGAAATTAGTAAATTTGTATTCTAATTACTTTCATGAGGCAAAATTGATTATTGAACATTGTCAAAATTATTTAAAATTAATTTAGTTTTGCAAATTTGATTTCAAAGTGATGTGATTTGCATTCAAATGTGTGTTATTTTAAAACTATATTAGTAATAAAACTTGATATAAATTTTTTATCCAACACAAAAATCACACTCAATTTATTTTTAAAAAAATAATTCTATCATATGTTTTAAATACTTTTTTTAAACATGAAACTAAATACGTAATATATATATATATATATATATATATATATATATATATATATTACGTCAAAAAGGATGCTATTGCGTATTTAAAACAAGCACATATTAAATTTTGATATGAATGCAAAAATGTAACAATAGATATTATGTTAAAAAACCACTACATAATAACGAATCTTATTGATATTTAATTATCTATATTTACACATATCTATTTAAAATATAATAATTAATTAAATATTCTATTATTTCATGTTCATTTATTAATTTTCTTTTACTATTTTTCTTTTTATAATTAATGTTCTTCAAATAACTTATAATATATTTCAAATGTTTAAAATAATTTTTTTATATATTTTCAAATGTTTTAAAATAAGATAAATAATTTAAAATATAAATAATTTTTTAATGACATATATTTCAATAATCTTTTAAAAGAAGAATCTTAAGTTTCAAGATAACTCAGTTGGTGATGACTAAAAATCTTCGTGTCACCCGTTCAAATATAGTTCCTGATACAATATTTATTTGAATGAGTATCTATTCTCCATGATCATTTAAATAAACAAGAGAGATAGATACTCATACAAATTTTGTGTTTTTCTAGATTATCGTCCATAATGTATTTAATTAAATAATATTTTTTTATGACTCACGTAATCAACTATTTTTTATATAAATCAATATATTATTAAGTTAATATTATTTATAATTTATAAAATATTTATCTTAATTTTAAATAATTTAAATATAAAATTCATATTTTATTTTTGTCTAGACTAAATTATATTATTATTTAAAAATAAATCTTTAAATACATTTTTAATTATTTTGAAATATATATATATATATATTTTTTTTGAATAAATTCTGAAAGAATACTTAAAGAAAAAAATTGAAACTTAGACAATAAAAAACTAGTATAATAAAAAATATAATAAATCGTTTACTAAAAAATAATAAAATATAATAATTTTTATAATTTTAAATAATTATGGGTAAATATCACATGTTTTGTCTTGTTAGAATTTCTTTCTTATTCTTACCAAATATCATAAAACCAAGATAAATGATATAAATAAAGGTAGTAGCACTGCAACAAAACCTCACACGCCTTCTTTGTCCCTTTTTAACTCTTCACTTCTCTTCTGTTGCTCAATTGCGCTGCGTCTCGCCGAAACCCTTGCAACCTCGACACAACCCCTATCGCCATGGGTACGTCTCTTCATCTCATTCCCGATATCATTTCCTTTTCCCCTGTATTTCCTCAATCCCTCCTTTCGTTCCTTTAGATCCGCATGTTCCTGCTTTTCGTAGATCTTTCAAGGTTTAACCCTATAGATCGGCGAACGGTCACCGCGGTTTTTTTTTTTTTGCTCTTATTGTTTTGTTTCTGCTAAAGCTCAATTGACTGAGCTCGGGCCTGCGATTTTCTATTTTACTTTTTGCAAATTTACAGTGTGGTGTTGTGTAGTACTTTGTTCGTATTTCAATATTGTTAACTTCTCCTGGTCGTAAGTGAATTTTTGTGGCAGTAAACTGAGTTGCATGCCATGGGTTAGTGGCTTGATTTATAGTTGTTTTAGGTTTCGCTTACACTGAAGAATAATTTAGAGAAACAAATGAATTATTGCTTTCTTTTGAGTGAAACATAAGTGTTCTACTTCGTGGTTGGTTATAAGGAATTGGGTGGAGAAAATATTCATGTTGGTTTTGTTTGAATGATAGATATTGAGGAGGACATCCGTTCTTTACAGCTCGAGTCAGCAGGTAATCCATAGGCTACTGGATTTTGTGTATTTATTCTTTGGAACTTGGAATTATACTTTTTCTTAATCTATCTTTCCAATATTGGTTGTGAATTTGTGGTATAGCAGAAGACAATAATGGGGTGGTGAATCCTGAGGATGGAAAGCCGGAAGAAGTTGAAAAATCTGATCAGATGGATGAAGGTTGGTTGTAAGGAAATGGTTGATTCAGTGTTTATATTTTCTTTGAAAATAAAACTCATCGATGTTAAACCCTTACGTAATTATACTTCAAGATTCTTTGTTGTTATTTTTTCACCTTTCTTTTATATTCTTTTGGCTCTCACTTGCAAATTCATTTTAAAATAAAGTATTGTCTTTTTTATTCTTTCTTCTGAGATCAACCTGTTTCTACTTCTTACGTGAGTAAATGTTATGCACCACACCACATACCATTCCCCCTTGAAACAATCATTTATGAACTCTGTCTTGTTTGGATGAATTGTTTTGATGTCGAAATTGTTATCACAATGATGCTCTTCAAAAATATCGTAGAAGTTGGAAAAGGAGTTTGTGTTCCTCTTTTCCTCCCTTTTCTTCAGGTCCCTTCTTTACTACTGTACTTATGGTGAACATTAGTATTTTTGTTGTATCAGCTTATTTGTTTGATGAATGATGTACAATTGGTATCTGCAGTGTCATCTATGGTGGATGCCCAAAATTCCGCCATATAAACATGCCACTGCAGCCTATGGGTGCCATAGTGTGCCTCCCATCCCAAATTGCCTATGGTGGTTGGCAAAATATATGCCACACCGTTTCACCTTGAAATTAAACAACACTGGGAATTATATGCTAAGCTCTACTTATGCCCTAAATGTTGTCATTTGCTTATATTCTCACCTTTGAAAAAGGATGATTTAGCAATAATTGTATCATCTAGCAGTAAAGCTTTGTTCTTCGTTGATTGTTGTATGGTCATTTCACTTGCTATATTAGTATGTTATTTCTTAACTTCTGTAACAGTGTAAGTTAATGATCGAGGTTGGAGGGCATCATATAATGAATTTCATCTTGGTGATTTCAGATCCTAAGCAGGAGGTTCAGGCACAGGCTGCTGAGGCTGAGCCAAAAGGTATTGGGAATGTATTTAGTATCCAAGTATGTAATTATATACATACTTTGCATTTCATTGCTTTTTCAGAGTTAGATAACTCATTGTTGATAAAGATACAAACATCCATTTTTGTGTGCTCACTTCATGACATTGATTTGTAGTGAAAGATAAGGAGATTCTTCCTGTTCAAGAAGAAGAAGAAGAGGAGCCAGAAATGACCAAAAGGCACCTGAATGTTGTGTTTATTGGCCATGTTGGTAAGTTAATAATTCCACATGTTTCATCATTGTACGAGTTACCAGGTTTTCTTTTTGTGTTCTGTTCAGCTTTAAACCATAAGAGCATTACGCTTCATATCTACTTTGTGCTTGTGCATTATAGAATTAAATGGCCATTTAGATGTTGACCATGAACTGGAAGACACTTGTTGCCTTTGTTTGCTGGTTATCAACTTCTTAGAATTTTCTGCTTTTGCATGACAGGAGAATAAAAGAACATTGGATTGCATTCTTTCACTTCTACCTGTGCGCATGTCGTTATTAATCTCTAATTGTTGTGTCGTGTAACCTGCGCAAGGGTTGGACTAAATTGGGAGAATATTTTTTTTATGCTTTCTCGGTAAACTTTTGATAATAAATTGGTTGTAACAAAAGATGCTAATCTGAATACATACTAAGTTTGTGAGATGATAAATACAGAGCATAGTCATATTACTGTAGTCCATGGGGCAAATGTAGTGAAAGTCAGGGCTTATTGACTCACATCACATGAGCAAGAGAGCTTTGTTGAAAGGGGATACTCATGGGAACTTTCTTGTAACTGTCTAAACATATGTAAGCAGCGAGGAGAGTGGAGATAGTAACAAGGAAGGCATGTGTTCAGTTAGAGATGTACATTCTGTATATAATATTGTTATACTAGTAATTTATTCTTGTATATCATTCTTTAGATGCTGGTAAGTCTACAACTGGAGGCCAGATACTTTTCCTCAGTGGTCAGGTTGATGAACGGACCATCCAAAAATATGAGAAAGAGGCTAAGGATAAAAGTCGAGAAAGTTGGTAAGCTGATTCACTTTGTTTTTTTGATTGAAAGTGATATGTGTTCCAATTCTGCGGTGCTGTCTCATCATCTATTTATCACATCTTCTTAGGTTCTTAACATACATGGTTTTCAGGCTAATTCACTAACATGTTTCAGTTGGCTTGCCATATTGACCTATTCTATATTAAACAGGATAGTCTTTTTTCAGTAAGTACAAGAAGTTTCAGCTATTTAAATATTTGGATATTTGTGTAAAAAATAAATAAATAAATTTTGGTGTGGTGCAATCAGAGGATATAGAAGATTGAGGTAGCTTATTTGGCTCAATTTGGATGAATTTTCTCAGTGCTTCATGCTCTCTTGTACTAATGTAACTCAAATCCGCTTGAAAGTAATCAAATAATTGTTACAACGGTGAATGGACTGGACTCTTACATGCTGTAATTAGATTAAACCGGATAAAACAGATGGAAACAAGTTCTATGGTGGGTAAAGTAATCCAAACAGAACATTCAATTAGGACTTGTGTGGATTTATGTTTCTTTTGTATTTGACTTTTCCAATTATGTTGCGAGAATGTTGGTTTCAAACTGTGATGTTAAATAGTAAATGGAAATGTGGTCTGTCCTTTAGTTTGCTTTGCTCTGAACAAATTCTATTATGTGTAACGTAATCTGAACAGAACATTCAATTAGTGCTTGTGTGGATTATGTTTCTTTTGTATTTGACTTTTCCAATTATGTTATGAGACCATTTGTCTTATGATTGTCTCACACTGTCACATCTATCTGTGTTCTATAATGTGCACTGTGTTACCTTCGGGAAATTTTAATTCCTTGCAAGTCCATAGCTACAAATGTTTATGTGAAACCTTTCTCTCTCTCCTGATGAAATTTGTTGCATGCTAATATTTAATTTCTTCTAGAGCCACGTGTATGCTTATAAAAATGGTAATTTTCCATTACTTATGTTCTTATGCTTCTCAAATATAGTGGGTGAACCTTTATATTTATTTTTTGCATGTTCTCCAAGTAGTTCATAACTGTATGCTTAGCAGTACTAGTAATTCAAGTTGAAAAGTTATTCTGTGTTTTATCTATTTAGTGCCTTAAATGAAGCCTGGGTGCTTTCTTAGCTTCTACATTTTATTTATGTATTTTGTTTATTTGACTCTGACTGTGTTGGGTTGAGGTGTTCAAACTATAAAATGGGGAATATGATCAACTGGGTCTTCAAGTTACTATATTTTTATAAGAGGGATTTTGTTTATTTATTTATTTATGGAGAGAAGGGGGATCCTTCAGCTTAATGAATATACCTGATACTAATCTATTTCAAATTAATGATTTGAAATTGATATGGTAGGTATATGGCTTATATAATGGACACAAATGAGGAGGAGAGGGTAAAGGTATGAGTAAATTTGCTGATGAAAGTTAGCTGGCTTATCCTATTTGGTGTAGTTTTTGCCTTTTGCTTTTTAGTTGTATGGATTTGATAAGAATTTATAACTAGGGTAAAGTGGTGAAAAATGCAGGGAAAAACAGTTGAAGTTGGACGAGCACATTTTGAAACAGACACAACAAGGTTTACTATTTTGGATGCGCCTGTGAGTATCTCCTCAGATCAGTTTACTTTATTGTGGACATGCATACTCTCTAAAGTGACAGTCTTCTGTTTTGAACGACTTGGCTCAATTTATTCTCTTATGGATCCCACATTAACTAGAAATCTGACCAAAACTATATTATATAAGAGGTTTTCTAAGTGGTGTGCAAAATTATCTTATCCAATTTTGTAGGATTGAGTTAGATCTAAACCCATATTCTAAGATAGTATTTTAGTTTATCCTAGGGTGGTTTGTTTGTCTATTGGGCCTTATGCTATTAGGTTGCTTTGAGGTACTGAATGTTAAGAAACAAGAAAAAATAGTTTGGAGGGCTTAATCACCCTCTTAATTATCTTCTATTTATATTGAAAAGTCTGATACAAGAGAGCATAGAAGATCTAAGGTGGCACTAGACACCTAGATACAAAACTAGGACAACTGGTAGATGTTTTCAACACACTACCCCTACTCAGACTTAATGATTACACATAGATTTAATAATTATTCTAACACTCTCCCTCAAGCTGGAGCATACAAATTGTATGTACCAAGCTTGGAACAAATGAACTCAATCCGAGGTCCTCTTAAGGACTTGGTCAATATATCTGCAAGTTGGTCATTTGATCCAACAAACTCAATACAAATTTCTTTGGACAATAATTTTTCCCGAACAAAATGGCAGTCAATATCTATGTGTTTGGTTCTTTCATGAAATACTGGATTTGGCGCGATGTGGAGAGCAGCTTGGTTATCACAATACATTTTCATGGTTTGGACTTCACAAAAATTAAGCTCTCGAAGGAATTGTTTTGCCTCACAAGTAAGAGACGCCATTACCCTGTATTCCGCTTCAGCTGATCTTGCCACTACATTTTGCTTCTTACTTTTTTATGAGATAATATTTCCTCCAATAAAAACACAATCTCCTGTAGTAGAACGTCTATCAGTTAGGGAGCTTGCCCTAATTCCCTAATCAACATCACAGTACTCGGAGACTTGGACATTTCCTTTATCTTCAAATAGCAAACCTTGTCTTGGAGCCTTTTTGAGGTACCTTAAAATACGAATGATGGCATTCCAATGGCCAATACATGGGGGCTGCATGAACTGACTAACCACTCCAACTGCAAAAGTTAGATTAAACCTCATAATAGTAAGATAAATTAGCATTCCAACTAGCCGCCTATATCTTTCAAGATTAGGGAATGATTCATCTTCTTCTGTCATTAGTTTTTGATTTTGGTCCATAGGACTATCTACTGGTCTATAGTCAAGTATACCTGTCTCTTGTAGCATGTCAAGAGCATTCTTCCTCTAAGAGATAACAACCCCATCTTTTGACTGAGCTACCTCAATGCCAAAAAAATATTTAAGACTGCCAAGATCCTTGATTTGAAAATGTTTGCACAAGTACTCCTTCAATTAAGATATTCTGGCCACATTATTTCCTGTAATGACTATATCATCAACATAGACTATCAGGTAAATACATTTCTTAAGATGGGTATTACAATAAAAAAACTGAATGATTTGCTTCACTATGTTTTAGCCCAAATTTTGCTTCACTATGCTTTACTATGATTCGCACGAGCATACAACATGTCCAACCCTGGAGACATGTCATGAACAAAACATACACAACCAAACATACGGGGAGAAATGTGAGAGAGAGGATTATTTGGAAAAAGAATGGAGAAAGGGACCTTATTATTGAGAGAGAAGGATGACATCCTATTAATAAGAAAGCATGCAGTTAGGATGACATCCCCCAATGATGGACAAGAATATTTGCACCAAGTAATAGGGTACGAGCAGTCTCAATTAAGTGTCTATTTTTTCTTTTTGCTATTTTGTTGTCGTGTGAGGACAAGTGGATTGATGTAATATACCATTCAAACTTAAGGCTGCAAAAAAATTGGATGAGAAATACTCTTTGGCATTATTACTTCTTAAAATTTTAATTACTTGACCGAATTGATTCTTGATTTCGTTCAAAAAGGATGTGAGGATAGATAACAATTTAGTATGATCTTTTATAAGATAAACCCAATTACATCTTGAGTATTTATCAATGAATGTGACAATATTTAAAACCAAAAGAATAGATGTGACTAGGTCCTCAAATATCAGAGTGGATAATAGAGAAACTAGAATTACACCTTGTTTCATACCTTTTAGGAAAGGTAGATCTAACATGTTTTCCTAATTGATAGGACTCACTTTCTAATATCTGGAGACTACTAAGCTTGTGTACCATTTTTTTTAACTTTGATAAATGAGGATGATCTAACCGTTCATGTAACAATTTAGGACTTGGGGCTGCAACACAGGAAATATGTGGACTAGATCCAAAATGGTATAAACCTCCAGCTTCATATCCTTATCCAATTCGTCTCCCCGAACATGTTCCTGTATAATAAAACACTTGTTATCAAAGGTTATTGAACAATTTAATGTTTTGTTTAACTGACTTAATGAAATTAAATTAAAGGGACAATTAGAGACAAAAATGACAACTTTTAAATCTAGGGAAGGAGATAAGGAGACTTGACTGACTCCCTTTGAGGAAACTTTAGAGCCATTTGCCAGGGTTATGAAATGATGTTTTCTTGAAAAGAAATGGAATAGAGCAAAGAGGTATTACCGGAGATGTGATAAGAAGATGTGATAAGAAGTACCTGAGTCAATTATCTATGAATTTTGACCTTCCATGGATTATGGAAAATACAGGCTGTTGATGTACTCAGAGTTTCAGATGTTTGTGCCAAGTTGTTAGATTTTAACCTAACATACTCTTGATATTCTTCCTCAGTGAATCTGGAATTGGCAGTTTCAGCCGTAAAGACATTGGTTGTCTTGGCAGGAAAACTATGCAAGGAGAAGCAGTTTTCTTGGGTGTACACTGAGGATGCCCTCGGCCACCACGTCCTCCCCTAGTGCGTTGTCCTCCTCTTCCTCGTGTGGCAACCATGATAGATGGTTCTTTTGGTTCATGAACTTCCTTGTTTTGATGCTTTGGGACTCGAAGGAGGCGTGTGATCAAACTATCCATGGAAGGGACCTCATGACTGGTAATAAGTTGATCTCGGAGATGATCAAAGTCTGGGTGTAAAGCACGAATGATCATCACCATATAATATTTATCAAGTTTCTTCTTGATTTTATCTAAAGATTCTACTTCCAAGAACATCTTTAGCTCTTCAACTGTAGATTGCGCTTCGGTCATGAAGGATATCATATCATGGTCAGTTTGTTTGAGAGATGCAAGTCTGTTGGCAGAATCATAGAGACATTGAATATCATTTTCATAAATGTCTTGAGCTTTCTTCCAAAAAAGGTGGCAAGTTTTAAAGGCTCTAAGGGAAATCAAAAGCCTTGGTTCCACAATTTGCCATAGTAGGGCACACAGCTGGAAATCAACTTGCTTCCATTGATCAACCTTTTCAGGAGGCACATGACTTCCATCTTTTTCAAGGTGATTAGGATGACCTCGGCCAAGGAACCGTATTTCGACTGATGCAACCCATGAAAGGTAGTTTTTTCCATTTAGTTTATCGGAAGTAATGGAAGGACTTCCAGAGAATGAAACAACAACTCTGGTAGCCATTTTTGTTGATAGAGAGCCAGAAAACAACTGGGGCTGAGAGACCCCTAATGTGACCTTCGCCAGGATGACTTTTGGACTTGGCCAAAATGAAGTTTTGAGGGTTAAAATAGGAAGGGAAGGCTTCAGCGATACCCACAGAGGTGACGCAACAACTTTCAGTCGAGGAGAGGGCGGCACGTGGGTGACACGCGCCTGATTGCAACCGATTTTGACTAGGTGTGTGATGGCGCGTGGGAGGGAACTAGCTTCCAAGACCGGCAGGGTTGACCATTGCTCGGAGAGGCGATCTAGATCCGGTGGTCGCCAGAAGAAACTATGGCGGTGGACAGAGGCGGACGATGACTCCTGAGATGAATGAGACAGGTAGTGTAGAATCAACCTGCTCTGATACCAACTTAACGTTAAGAAACAGGAAAATATAGTTTGGAGGGCTTAATCATCATCTATTTATATTGAAAGTCTGATACAAGAGAGCATAGAAGATGTAAGGTCGCATTAGACACCTAGGTACAAAACTAGGTACAACAGTAAGACAACTGTTAGATTTTTCCAACACATTATCCCCTACCCAGACTTAATGATTACACATAGATTTAATAATTATTCTACCAGAGGTCACCATTAATATTTATTTCCATGTTTTACTTGCCTAATCCTTAGTGGTGGAGGGGATTGGATATCCCATGTTGGCTAGAAATATGGTCAAATAATAGTATAAAAGTGAGGTGCAATCCTCATTTTACAAATAGATTTTGTAGAGCTAAGTTAGGCTTAAAATCACATTCTAAGAACTTTCTTTACCTATATTTTATGACAATTCAACCATTATATGGCTACCCTGAGGTAACAATTATGACTGAATTACAATCCTTCTGCAGGGTCACAAAAGCTATGTTCCTAACATGATCAGTGGTGCGTCTCAAGCTGATATTGGAGTGCTGGTTAGTTGATCTATAGTGTGAATTTGTCCTTTAATACAAGTATGCTTCACAAGCAATTGACGGTATCTCTTTCTGTCTGTGTCTTTTACCCCACCAATCAGGTTATTTCTGCTCGGAAGGGAGAATTTGAAACTGGATATGAGAGAGGTGGGCAAACTCGTGAGCATGTCCAGCTTGCAAAAACGCTGGGTGTGTCTAAGCTGCTTGTTGTTGTTAATAAAATGGACGAACCTACAGTACAGTGGTCAAAAGAAAGGTTCTCCCACTTTCTTGGTCTATTCACACACATCCTTTTTGTGCTTGTATGCAATTATAACGAGATTCCTTGCTGCTGCTGTACCACTAGGTATGAGGAAATTGAGTCGAAGATGGTTCCATTTTTAAAGCAATCTGGATACAATGTAAAGAAAGGTAACTGCCTTTTATTCTTTTGTTTGAGAAAATGTTGAAATTTCTGTTTTCTTTCCTAAGTCATCTGCATTTTAATCGTTGAATACTGGTGTGAATGTGAATGCGAGATTTGTAATGGGTGGGTTGTGTAGCTTTTACATGGAGAACATGAATTATATATAAAGATGTGGGGGGGGGGGGAACTGTTTGTCATATTCATTTCTGGAGTGTTATGTCTTGCTTAAAAACTGCTGGACCTTGGGACAATTTGAAGATATGTTTCTGTTCCACAAGCTATCTCTATGATGTAGGATTTGAAAAGCCTGTGAAAATGGACTTGGAAAGCCCTGTTTTTTGATACATTGTTTAGTTGCAACTTCATATTTTATGTGATGACAACCAGTTTTATGTATTGTGTCAATAAAGTTATTTTACTAATTATTTGTTCAACAGATGTCTTGTTTTTGCCTATATCTGGTCTAGTGGGTACAAACATGAAAACAAGAGTGGACAAAAGTGTTTGTCCATGGTGGAATGGGCCTTGCTTGTTTGAGGCCCTTGATGCTATTGAAGTTCCACCACGAGATCCCAAAGGTCCTTTCAGGTATTACGATTCTGACCATCTTACCTTCGTAGGTCCTCTGATATTTTTTTTCTTCTATTTTTGAAGTTTAACTTTGCTAAGATGGGAGGTTCTGACTTGCGTAGGATGCCCATTATTGACAAATTCAAAGACATGGGAACTGTTGTTATGGGGAAAGTTGAATCCGGTACTGTCCGCGAGGGAGATTCCTTGTTGGTCATGCCAAATAAGGTAGTCTATTTATTTGCTTTTTAGGTTGCTGGGACCTCTTTCTTTTGCCATTATTCTTTCTTGAACATGAAATGGGTAAGAACTGCACATGAACCTGCAGGATCAAGTAAAAGTTGTTGCCATATTCATTGACGAGGATCGTGTTAAACGAGCTGGACCTGGTGAAAATTTGCGGATTAGATTATCCGGTGTTGAAGAAGAAGACATATTATCTGGCTTTGTCCTGTCTAGTGTTGGTAAGGTTTATTGTTCCCTCCACTTTTTGAAACTTTTGCTGGACATAAAGATGTGTTATGGTAGTACAATTTGCAAGATATTATTTAATCATAGCAGTCAATACCGGCTAGTCCCCTAAACATGATAGAAGATAACAGGATAACTGCTGTTCCAATATATATAGCGATTTTTATGAGAGGGGCTAGAAAGCATAATTAACCCAAACAATTTCAGGCAATGTGTAAAATCTAGTTTTTTTGTCTATTGTTTCATTTCTTAAATCTGATTCTGATATGACAAGCTTAGCGATGAGATTTGCTATACGAATGTCCTATTTATTATGGCTTATCCTCCAAGACAAATTAAGTAATTGTCTTGTTTTAAGTTGGACTTGAAATGTGCATAAAATTATGGCAAGTATTTAAAATTTGGTTTAAGTCATAGTCAATCAATTGTATTGATTTGAGAGTGGTGTCAGAAATGACATTAGTAAATTAAATTTGGATCCTTTACATTTATTATATTGTTGTTTTCATGTTGTTACACATTTACTGGTTGGTGATTTATGTGGTCTAAGTTTTTTCCCTTTTGCAGCTACTCCAATACCAGCAGTTACTGAGTTTGTTGCTCAGTTGGTGATCCTTGAATTGCTAGACAATGTATGCATATTTTTTCTCATCCTCGTCGTTTATATGTTAGCTTTAGTTTGCGTTATATTAAGTTAGGATATTAACATCTTTATGTAAAATATTTAGGCTATTTTTACTGCTGGGTACAAGGCTGTTCTGCATATCCACTCGGTGGTTGAGGAATGTGAGATAGTTGAACTTATACAGCAAATTGATACAAAGACAAAGAAGCCTTTGAAAAAGAAAGTTCTCTTTGTGAAGAATGGTGCAGTTGTAGTGTGCCGTGTTCAGGTGCATTGCATTATGAATTTAGAAGTTTTTTTTTTTTAAATCGTTTTTATTTACATTACTAAAAAAATACAATGGTGGGAGTTGTCTCATTATGTGACCTGGAGGTCAAAAGTTCTTGTTGTGTGATCAGCCTGTTCAAGGTGAGTCTTCCTGATATAGACCTACTTGGTCGATGACCTTTCCTGAGCCCTGCACATGCCAGGAACCTTATGGTGCTGGACTGCCCTTATCGTGTTGCTGTATATGGGCTTCATAGGGCTATGGATCTGTTTAACTGATTCTTGAAGTCTTCTTAAATAGAGAGGATAATTTCATTATTGATGGTGGTTTGGTTTCCTCCCTATTTATGCAACTTATGTTTTATTTTTTATTGGAAATGTACATGCAGGTTAATAACTCTATTTGCATCGAGAAGTTCTCTGATTTCCCGCAGCTTGGGAGGTTCACTCTTCGTACTGAAGGTAAGAGTTAAGAAAAATCTGTCTTCTGAATGTGTTTCTGAAATAAATATATCTTTAATCCGTATGAGTTGCTTTATCTTAACAGGAAAAACTGTTGCCGTGGGAAAAGTCATTGGTCTGTGAGTTTGTAACAATTTTGACTGAGGTAAATAGTATTTCATATGCATTGTTGCTTCTTTTTAATCTGCTCTTGCCTTCCATTGCCAACTTCGTAATACTGTCAAAACTTTCATTTGACCTGATTATCCTAATAGATTACTGGCCACTGGATCGCCTTTGTCTGTTAAAGTGAACAGTTGTTTTTGTGGACAGGAAGGGAATTCCTGCACAAATTAATGGAGTGGCAGCTTTGAGGCATAGTTGGCAGCATCAAGTTCTATATTCATTTCGGTATTTGTTTTGCTTTTACTTGGTAGTATTCAGTGAAGAGTTATTTGTTGCTGCTGGTGCCCATGTACTTGTATACGGCCTTACTAGGCCTGGCTGCTTCAGTATTTTGCAGTTGGCTGGCTGCTTCCAGTCATCCGTGCTACGCTCGAGATATATAAATTTGAAATCAATCTGTCTTATTAACTTTGATTGTCATTATTGATTTCTTTTAGTGGCCTGTTGCCGAATCTTTGGTTTGAAAAAAGGTAATTAAGACATCTATTTTCTAATTATAGAAATATCACATTTTTTATTAAATTGGTTGTTTTGTTGTATGTGAAAACAATATATGGATTAGGTGCTCGGGTATAAGTGGAGGTATAATACTTAGTATAATAATGTTTCATTTAAGACCAGAGAAAAAGTTAATGTAAATTTTATTCAGCAAATGTATTTTTGAAGTCTATCACAAAACAGAGTTGTTACTCCTATAGCAAGAACATTCCTAAGACTAAACATATACTGCAAATTTAGTACGTGTCATCTACACATTAACTGTTTGAACAACCCAAGTTAAATAACTTACATGAAGAATTTGTACAAAGATGAATAGTAATAACAAATAATTTACTTCACTATTTTCTATTGAGACTCATCTTTAGTATATTGCAAAATGTAACTCTATTATATATATGTATAATATTTTTGTTTATTTTTATAATTACTTTAAAATTATATTTTACAATTTCAAAAGAAGTAATGAAATAATTTTTTTATATTGAAAATACATAAAAGTTAAATTCTACAAATTTTATTGCCTTTAGTTAATGTCTATGTCTTGAAGAAATTGACTTTAAATTTGTTGTACTGAATATTTCATGTGATAGATGAAATAAAAATTTTTTAGTTTACTTTTTTCTAATCATAATAACTATATAATTAATGTTGATTAATATAATATATTAGAGACTCAACCCTCAAAATTCAACAGAGAAGTAAAACTCGTCTAAAAATTGGTAAAAGTATGCGATAATTTTAGGAGTCACATTAGCTATTATTTTGAATTGGTTTATCTATAATTGTAATAATATAAAGTGTAATACAATTACATAACATGTCATATTTATATATAACTACATACTAAATATGTTTATACACAATCATTTAAAATAAGATAATTTATTGTATTTTATTTAATATTTTTTATAACTTTATTATTATTATTATGTTTAATTTTTGCTTTAATTTTTCTCTATTTACAAATTTCCTTTATATAAAATAAAAAACTAATTACATTTTTGAAAAAAATTATACTTCAAAATAATTTAAAATATTTTTAAAGAATTATTTTTAATAATATTATAATTTTGTTTCAATCTAAGTAAAATATATATTTTATACTTAAATTATTTTAAATTAAGATAAATATTTTAAAAATTATAAATAGTAATCAAGAATACAACATATATCCGATAATTTATTAAATATAAAAAATAATTAAATTTAAAAAATATTTATTTATTTAAAATATTAAAAATCTATAATATTTGTTATAAAATAATTTTTTTATATAATTAACTGACTAAATTATTTATAATATTTAAAATATTTATCTAGTTTAAAACATTTTAAAATACATTTTAAAAATTATTTTAAATTGTATTTTACTTAAATATAAATTAAATTATATTGTTAAAGGATACGTTAACAAAATTTATTTTTAAATTATTTTATAAGAAATTAATTATAGAGAGAAAATTAAAAAAGAAAAAAATAAAGTACAGATAATTGAGAAAAGAAAAACTTAATAAATTATCATATGTTAAAGAAATGTATATAAATATATAATGCTAATTACATATAAACATTATTTTGGGTATGCATATTTTATTTCTTAATTTATCCCTTCAACTTTTTCGAAAAATTCCCATTCAACTACTTCTATCTTCATAAAATTACTCGATTCTTTGTTCTTCTTATTCTTTTAGTTATCTATGGTTCTGTTTTTTCCTCATAATATTCATGGTCAGGATTACAAGATTTTTATAATTTCAACAAGGTTTAAAAATTTTGGGGTAATTTTTCTCTTTATTAATTTTAAAATTCTCTTTACTGTTTTTTAAATATTTTGTTACAACACAAACAAGTTTTTTTATGATTATTATTATTATTATTATTATTATTATTATTATTATTATTATTATTATTATTATTATTATTATTATTATAACTTTTATTAGTTTTTGAAGTCATGTTTGATTTGAAATTATAAACCGAATATTTGATAAATTAATCGAATAATTTAACAAATTAATACATTAATTTGGTATTTAAAAATCAAAATCAATATAAACAGACATATTCATTTAATTGAAATTTGTAGGTTATCATTTTTAATATATATTTGTTTTCATTAAATTAAAACTATAAAAAATTTAATTAATGATAAATATTATGTTACTTGATAAAAAAATTAAAAATTATATTCCCTTCAACTGCCAAAACAAATTTTGATTTATATTAATCAGAAAATATATTTTTTAATAAAAAAATAAAACCTCTCTTAATTTCTCAATCATGTAAAAATAATTTAATTATTGAAGCTTTAAAACTCTATTTGCAAAGCTAAATATAAATATTAAATTTAGAATAAATCTTACTTTAATATAATAATATTATTATACTTATTATGTTACCCAAAAAAAGCATTATTATACTTATTACAAAGAAAATTGGGTGTTATAACAAGTAAAGTGAAATGTCTTGATGAGATTAATTATTTAGTTATGAAGAAAATAGAAATTTGAGGACCACATAAGTAGAGAACAGCAGAACTAAGACACTGAGATACACATGGCCACAAAAATATATTTCAAACTTCTATAATAAACAAAAATGGTTGAGAAGTGTAAGATATATTATTTTCACTTCACTTGTTATTGTAAATGGCAGTGAACTCAATTCATATGTTGTACGACTCTTCAATCCGTTTGTGTTTCCCAGGTTTATTTCCCTTTCAAGTTTCAAAGCTCTCACCACAATTTAAACCTCTGAATTCCATTCCTCTCAGTGGAAGAAAACACTGCAACATTGTTAGATTTCCCAGAGAAATAGCAAGGACCAGAGCAACCCTTGATGATGTTGAAACCGACCAACTTTCCTCAACACCCATTGTTGAGAATGAGAAAGCCAAAAAGGTATCATCTTATCTTTTGGGGTTCCCATTAATGTTTCAAGCTTTCTTTGTTTGGTTTATTAGATAATGTTGGAAAGTCTATGGATTCACACTGAATTCTCCAAAATTCCGGTTGAAGTTCTGCTAGCATGTTTTGTTGGGTTAAAATTTTTATTCTGGGGCTAGAATTGAAATTTGGTCCATTTTGTTCAGGGGTTTAGATTTTTATTTTTATTTTTTTCATTTGAATTACGAGTTGGATTCTGTGTTGGTTTAAATTTAATTTCAGTATTTGCTTAGGACGTAGAGGAAAGTGTGAAAGTGTTAAAAGATGCTGCCAAGACACGAACGGTTGCAGCAGAGGAGATTCTTTCTGCACTTTCTATCATTGAGAAAGCAAAAATTGATCCTTCTGGGTTTTTTGAAACCCTTGGTGGAAATAAATCTCCTGGGAGGACCTGGATGTTGATTTTTACTGCTGAGGTTAACATCTTTTTTTGGTAGCTCTTCATTTGGCCATAATTCTGTTTCTTTTTTTGCATATTTACGGTCACCTACACTAAACAATTTCTGCTTTTGTGCTGAGTTTTAGAAAAAATTAAAAGGTGGTCGATATTTTCCTCTCACAGCTGTTCAGAGATTTGATGCTTCTGTAAGTCCTCTTTCCAATGATCCTATCTATATTTCATTCTTGTCAAAAAATTATGTTACCTTTGCTCTGTCTGTTCATAAATTTTCAATCTTTCATGTTAAAGACGAAATATTAAATTTAAAAAACTTAAAAAACTCAAATGAAAAGGTTAAACAAACAGTGTTATATTAAAGGAATTTTTTTATTGCACTACATAATTTAATATTAATGGAGGTGATAAATGAAGAATTTTATTTCAGTATTGAGGATAAAATGAAAAAGAGTAGTTACAAAATTATATGGTCAAACACTACTACAAGTACTGTCTGAAGAAAATGGTAGAAAATAGTGAGATAAGCTTGGGTTATCAAACATCTCTACTTTGGTCAAACAATTTCATTTAGCTAGTAAAATATGTTAGCTGAAATAACTTGTCTGTTTTTTTGGAGAAGAGCTGAAATATCTTGTCAAGCAGTCATAGGTGAAAAACTGAACATCAAATGTTGCTCTGTTTTTCTTAGCCACTTAAATGGAGTTAGAGAAATCAGATCTCCGCTATTATCTAATGAGGATCCTGTGCATGTATGAGTTAATAACTCTCTAAAATTGTTTTTTGATTGCCTCCTTAGACCTTTTCATGCAGGAAAAGTTGTATTCCTGTTGTTAGTTTCATTGTTTGTAAATGTTCCATATGCCAATTTAATGTCTTTGAATAAAAGCTTGGTGCTTCTGTCTGAGTTGGAATATTAAGTAATGCTGATTGATGATGGATTATTAGGCAAAGAGGATCGAAAATGGAGTATATCTTGGACCCATTGGACAGTTAACATTTGAAGGCAGACTTTCATGGAAAAAGAGAATTCTGGCTTTTGTTTTTGAGAACATTCGAATAAAAGTTGGACCCTTTCAACCTCTAGAGATTAGTCTAGGGAAAAAGGAAGACAAGGAACCAAATACCAAGGATCCTTTCTTCATCTGGTTTTATGTTGATGAGGAAATTGCTGTTGCTCGTGGCCGGAGTGGAGGAACTGCATTCTGGTGTCGCTGTGGTCGTGTCAATAACTGATTGTTTCTAACTTTCATTGCTGAATTTGGATGGAAAGATTCATGTATAGTTGCATTGAAGTCTGTGTTTCACAATATCACTGATGTTGGGGTATTCGTGAAGAAAGCATTATTCAACAACTAAAGAAGGAAAAAAAGGAATTTGGTAAATAAGAGATAGGAGGAAAAGGAAGATTCATGTTCATCACAAGTGCTGGTTATATCATTGAACAGGTGTATCTGAATTGTATGCTTTAGAATATGTTTCATTCAAAGAAATTTGTTCTGTGGTTTCTGAATCAACACATGGTGAAAATCTGTGGGTGTCTTTTTTATAATAAACAGGTGTTGTTTTGTGCATTATGATGCGTATGAAGGTTGCTAAATGTCTTATTTCTTGTCTGATTGATGTGCATGGATGATTGAAGTTAATATTTATGATGCAAAGGAACTTCATTTCATGTACATGCAAATAAGAGGTGGCAATTACTATCGTTTTTCTTTTATACCTTCTTCAATTGATTCCATTTTTTTTTAAACTGGTCTAAGTGCTTGACCATGTTTTTATTAAATTAATGAGGTGCAAAACTTTTTTTTTGTTATCATGTTTTTCTATTTTGATTAGTATGCCTGTGTCATTAATATTTGTTAGTCATGAATTTATTCTAATTTTGAAAGATTTATATTCTAAATATAGAATTATCATTTTTTGTATATTTGATTTTACATATAATTCAGAGCATAAAATACTAATGGTTCACCCTCTTCTACTCATGAAATTAAAAAAAATTTGGACAAAAAAAGTCATATTTAAATTTTGTAGACTAATGTAAAAGTTTTCACATGAACTACAAAATAATATTTTACCTAAATAAAATTTTAAATAGTCGTGTCATGTTCTTAACTTGTTTGACATGTTAAGCAAATATTTAATGGAGGTAAAAAAATTGGATTAGAAAAATTATATTAATATTTTATAAGATTGAATTAACATGAAAAAGATTATGAAAAATAATTGTTGCTTTATTATTTTAATATTGATGATTTTTTTTTACCTGGATATTAGACCGACATTCTTATATTTCAATGGTAGTGAAGGTATAGTCATGAAATTCTAAGAAATAAGATGCTCATAAAATTCAAATCATGCTTTATAGATAAGAGAAGTTTTGAAAGACACAACATGGATCATAAACAAAACCATCTTTCTATTACTCTCTTTCTTTCAACAATTATTTCTTGAATAAATGAAGTAATGTACTTTCCCACTCCACAAATTTTCTGTTAATGGAATATATGTCATAAAGATATTCCAGAAAGTAAATATTTATTACAAACTATCCAACTGTTTCTTTTAATAAAATTGGATCGAGTTACACTAATAAAATGTTTATTACATTATGGAAATAAAACAATGTATGGATGATGATAACATTTCTCGTCCAACCTAATCAACAAAAATGCAGACAGAAAATATTATATGTCCTATGAATGACTGACAAGTTTTATTGGCTTTTACAAAAACAGTAAATCTTGACACCACATTTACACAATTCTTGTATTCATAAATCTGCACAAATGGTATAGGTAGCTGCAGTGAGTGGCTTTGGAGTGTTGGGAAGAACCTTTCACTTGGCTATGCACTTGAACTTTTTGTACTAGACATGAATACAAGAAATCTTCCTTGGCATAACTAACAACAATAGAATGGAGGTGCTGGTTACTTTACTAGATTGATATCTGGATTTCTCATGGTTTTGAGCCACATATCAGCAACTATACGTGAGGAAATGCTCCACAGAAGCTCTTGTCCCTTTGCTGATGCTTGCTTCCCTTGCTTCCCTGCCTTTCCCAACCCATATGCAACCAACCACTGCATTGCAGTAAGTCTTTGCTTCCCACTGTCCCATGCATTCTTCTTTATGGTACTCACAAACTTGAAACCCCCCACATGCATGCTCGTCACCTTGAACCTTTTTTCCTCCTCATTCCCCTTTGTGTCAATACTTGTTGCATGAATCAGCACCATCACAGGTCCTCCAACTGCTTCGTAGCGTCTCATTGGATCCCTCAATTGGACAACCAATAAGAGTGTCACTTTTTCTGGTTCACCTTCAGAACCTGAAGTACTTTTGGTGTAACTTTGGTCTCTGATCCATTCCTCAAGTGGAATAACTGAAGCCAGAAGATCCTTTCCATCAGCTCCTTTCTTTGCAGATATATCAAATGGGGCTTCTTCGTCTGCCATGTCAGCTTGTATTTTCAATGCTTCGACTGTCATGGATTCAATCTTCTGCATTGCAAACGCCAGAAGCTTCTCTGTAGTGAGTGGCTCCTCGTCAACATTCCAAAGTCCTGTGGTTATTCTTTCTCTCCTGCCTGAACTCATGGAACTTCCCATACTTTTCAAGGAAGAAACTATTCGAGCAGCACTGGAGCTGGCTCCTTCCTTGTTCCTCCCTTGTATGATGGCATTAGCAATGCCTTCAAAAGCAACCTGTTCTGCAGTTTTGCCTATCATTTCATCTATGGGCATTAAGGACAACACCTTGGAGCTGAGTTCTTCAAAGCCAATCCCAGCCAATTTCTGAAACAACTCAAACCCTGTCAAGGGTTGATACGATGCTAGCACAAAAGGCCTTGACATCTGCATGGCTAGCTTTGGAATATCTTTTCTAGCCACAGCAATATCCAAAGGGTTCATGGAAGCCAAGTAGCCTCCATCCCTTGTTTGAACTACACAACCCAATCCCTTTCCAAGGTCAGGAAGATACACTTTGGATTCTCCATCTTCGGCAGAAGCATCATCGTGTCCTTCAAGCTGAAGAGGCGGAATTTCAGGTTGATCAAACAAGTACTCACTGTTGTCTTGATCCTCAAGCATCTGAAGAAACTCTTTAGTCACAGTTTCTTCATCTGCATCTAGCCTCTGTGTTTCTATCTCTTCCTCTATTTTCGTAAACTTATCATCTTCTCCCATCATAGACTCAAGAGCTTTTATCTGCTGAGCAATTGAATCAAGCTCAGTCAATCTAGTAAGGTGTTTATGATCAATTACTACTTCCTTGACAACTTCACTGGAAGCTGATTCCTGCTGTACAGGTTCCTCAGATTCCTCTTCTGCATTTTCTTCCTTCTTTTGAACCTCTACTCCTTTATCCACAACCTCGAAATCCGGAAGTTCAAAATCCTCCGCCTGTTCCTTACTACGTTCATCAACTTTCTGTGTAGAGGAAGAGGAATCCTGAACCGGGTTTGGATCATCAAGGTTCAAATCATCCATTCCTTGAATATCTTCTCCTATTCTCGACTGTGAAGGAGTCCATGCTTCATTTCTACTTGTCATTCTAGGACTAGACATGCTGAATGATGTCTTGGATTGTTTACGAGCAAAAGAAGAGAAACTACCAAGCTTGCCAGAGCTGGACTTCGAATTCTCCACTTGATTATTATATATATCAATTCCTCCATCTTTCTCCATGATCTGGAAGCCCAGTTTGACAACAAGTTCTCCTCCTTTTGCCTTCCCATATAGTTCAAAGCTTGTATCCCATTGCTTCACCCGCGTGCCTTGTTGGTTTTTCTCAATGGATTCTTTTATCAACTCACTCAAGTCCACTGAGCTTCTTCCAAAATCTAGCTCCTTAGCATCAATAGCAAAAAGGTATATCCAAAAGGGGCGGGGCTCAAACTTGATCTGCTTTGCAGTGCCTTGGTTGGATGTGTGATAAACATGGCACCTGATGAAAAGGGTCTCTTCAAAATCTGCAGCTCCTTGTGCAACCCTGGATGGCATTGTTTTAACAGCACCATCCTTTGTTTCCTTTTTTCTAACACAAACTGATAGTCTAAGTCCATTCATGGAAGAAGGAAGGCCTTGAGCTGCGACCACTTCAACAGAAAACAAACAGCTTAGTTTCTGCATACCAATGTGAGATAAAGCCCGCATGGGCTTCCACTTCCAAATTCCTTTCTTTTCATTGTCAGACGAAGTTGTTGATGTGTCATCAACCCTTTTGGTTTCTGCCTTGGCAAGAGCATCGTCAGGCTTTGGTCTTGATCGCCATGGCGACATGGACATGCGTCGCACCCGAGCTTTGTTGCTGCTTTCATCATCTTTGGCATCTTCATCAGGTGGAGCTGAATTTCTTGGCAATACAAGGGAGGCTGTTCTTCTGGCTGTGGAGGTGTGTTGTTTGTAAAGGGATTCACTCAAAGCCTCTAGTTCTTCAAGGAGTTGTGCATTGGGGTTGCTCTTGGCATCTGCCATTACTAGTGAGTGAAGAAGTAGTTGCTGAAATGAATGGTGATGAAGATGTTTAAGAAGATAAGATGCCTACATAGTTGAAGTAGGAAGGACCATGCAGGATGATAATGATGGCTACTTCTTTCTGATCCAAGAAAATAGGATGAATTGATTTGTGGAGGATAGCGGGTGAACGGTGGCGTTGCATTGTGGCTTGATGAGTAAGACAATTTTGACAACAACTATCTAACAGGCAACATGGTCCCAATAAATTTAATGTTGCTTTGTCCTCATACAGTGGTATGTGACACAGGCTTGGTGGTGAGAAAGTGAACTTTCCTACCCTCAATTTCGTAAGGAAGTAGAACATATCTGCTGAATTAAAAATAAAAACATTGCAGCATGCAGATAAGGAACATTTTCGACCATCTTCTCTTCATTTCTTAGGAAGAACTCAATGCTCATTGTTAGTTCTGAGATTACCATATTACTTTTGTTTCTGACCTATCTTAACATTATTTATGCTTACTGTACTTACGTGCCGAAGCCTAACTAGAAACAATTATAATGTCGGATTCTCATGTCTCTTTCAACTGTCATATAGATTGGATGCTGCTGCAAGCCTTTCCTACTCCCTACCTTTATCTTATTCCTTAATCATTAAAATATTTAATTCCAAGAAAAAGATTGAGAATTCCCTTCATATCCTTGGAGAGAATATTTTATTTTTGAATGAAAGGTTTAGCTGAAAGCAAAATGAAGATTCTAAGAAAAAAGTGGAATAGATTCTACAGAATTTTGTGTTTTTGTTGGCCTTTTATTCTCACTTCCAAACACTTCCCTGTAAGAAAAAAGTTCGAACTCAACCTCCATGTCTGTCAACACAATAGATATTAGACAGTTTGTGTCTGAGATTCTGATGTCAAACTTCCTAGTCCTTTTGGTCTTAGGCTCATCACAAGACATTCTTATATGCCCATTAGAAAACAATTACTATATATTCTTGATGTTTCTTGATCATGCATTTGATCCCTTGAGAGATTGTTAGCAAAAAGGAAACGAAGCGCAAACATTAAATAGATATAATTTTTCTTTTGTTTTTCAAGTCAATAAAGCATCGTTATTCTAACACTAAGTAATTAAACACTACAATATATTTATCACCTCAAATAATTTTCACAATAATATTTTATTTTATTTGTAAAAAATAATTTTCTGTGTAAAAGTGATAAAATATGAGACACTTTTACAGTATAAAATTTTCATTTATATTTATGAAATTTCTCTCGCCATTATTACATATGTGGACATGGACCACACTGTGTGTCTGGAGATTTCTCAATTAACGATAAGAAAAAAATAAAATAATTTTGGAGAATCGAACTCTGAAATTAATTAAAGAATATAATAATTATTTAATATTAAATCTCGTTCTCTTTGTTTATTAATTCTCTGCTACGCTCTCTCACGCTCCCCTCATTTTCAGGTTTCAGCCACTGCAGCTGTTTTCACTTCCTCAATCTTCATGTTTCGGCTGCTTTCTGATTAAATCATACACTACTTTACACGTTTTCTGGTAAAACCCTAATTTGATCCAAATGACCCACTTGTAAATTTTCAATTTTTTTTCCAACTGTAGTCACTTCAACTCCAAAATCTGGAACAAAAAATGGCAGACCCGGATCCGTCCAAAAAAGTAGCTGATAGATATCTGAAGCGTGAAGTTCTTGGTGAAGGTACCTACGGAGTTGTTTACAAAGCCATTGATACCCACGTAATCCCCCGAAACTTTCTTCTTTAGATTATGCGAATTCGAGACCGAAGAATCATTTTTACTTTCCCCTGTTCTCCTTACGGGTTGTGAGGACTGGGTCTTTTACTTTCAGTCGCTGCAATGAAAATTACTGAATGAGAGTAAAATAGATATTTGTGTATAGCCTTAGTGATGTTGAAAGGGAAGATGCAATTATTTGCTTTGGGTTCCTGACTTTGATTTAAGGGGTTTATTTCAAGAATTTCCATTTAAAAAAAAAAAAAAAAAAAAACTTAAACATGTCTGCTTCATTCAATTGTTTAGGAAGAATCATATGCCGTGTGTCATAGGGTATGAGGAATTGGTATTTCTTACCTTTTGTTTTGTGATCGAATGAATATGAGGAAAGGAAAGCTTGAAGCTTCTTAATTAGTATCAGTATAGATTGGTAAAGTTATGACTTATTCTTTGTGTAACTAGCAAAAATGTATCTAGGACAAAGGTATGCTTACTTTCATGTCTTGATGGACTAGCCTTTTTGTTCAATAATGAAAATGACAGTACTATTATGATGTGGTATTCTCATAGAGATGAATTCATTGTTTTGGCAGACAGGACAGACAGTTGCAATTAAGAAGATTCGGCTTGGCAAGCAGAAAGAAGGGGTAAATTTTACAGCTCTCAGGGAAATTAAGCTTCTTAAAGAGCTTAAGGATCCTAATATTGTTGAATTGATAGATGCATTCCCACATAAAGGGAATTTGCATCTTGTGTTTGAATTCATGGAGACGGATCTTGAAGCTGTCATTCGAGACCGAAATATTTTTCTTTCACCGGCTGATACAAAATCCTACCTTCAAATGACGCTGAAAGGTCTTGCTTATTGCCACAAGAAATGGGTTTTGCATAGGTAGAGAATGATGTGTGTTTGGTCGTTACAAAGTTGTTACTTGATTTAAGTGCTGAGTTCAAAAGTCCGCTTTCATATTTTCAGGGATATGAAGCCAAATAATTTATTGATAGGATCTAATGGACAGCTGAAACTTGCAGATTTTGGTTTAGCACGGATGTTTGGAAGCCCAGAAAGAAGGTTCACTCATCAGGTTTGCTTTTTTATGTATAATGGCATGTGGATCTCATTGAGTAAGTGAGTTTGAATGTGGTAGCGTCAGTCAGTACTTTGAATTCAGGGTCTTTATCTATGAGCTCTTTTCTCTTGAACAAAACTCAGGTTTCCCAATAAACTGTGAACTTGAAACTCAAATCATTCTGTTAATAATCCTACTTGCTGCGAATTTGTTTGCATTAAGTAGTGAAGTTTCCTAAAATATGGAATAGAGTTTACAAAATTGGAAAGGAAGGAATATACCTTATATCAGGCATAACTTATATGATGATTTAGTTTGAATTGCTATGCAATCCTAGGACTGTAATTCAGCAGATATTTTACCTTGAAATCTTTATTATTATTGCCTGCAAAAAAGGTGGAGCCTAGACAAAATGGTGGGTTGTTGCCTTGTGATTTGGTATCACAGGTTCTAGTCATGGAGACAGCTTCTTTGCACAGCGCCCAGGATTAAGGATTCATATGCATATATGATATATCTAATCAAACCCTCACCCTCTACACACGTAATGGTAGGAACTCATGCATTAGGATGCCCTTTCTTATATGATGGCTTTTAAATTTAGGAGCAGGGGGAAGATAATTGAAGACCCAATATTGGAGCATCGAAGTATACTAAATTCTGCTGAATCTTTTCTAGGATTGTTATTATCTATGGTAACTGAATATTGTGGCAACATTTATGGAATAAAACTTTGGTTCTCTCTTCTAACTTTCTTTCTAGAAGAGCTACCTGCATGTTATTTAACTGTTTCATATTATGTTGTGTACTTTTTTCACTTTCTATTGGTGGATTGAGTTTCTAGTTTCTACACAGATAACACTTGTGCTTATTATATGCATGAATAGGTTTTTGCTCGGTGGTATAGAGCTCCTGAGCTATTATTTGGTGCCAAGCATTATGGTTCTGGGGTTGATGTCTGGGCTTCTGCTTGTATATTTGCTGAACTTCTTCTCCGTCGACCATTTTTGCAGGTAAAAAATACTTACATGATTGATGTTCGGAAGTAAATGGGCTTTGACATCAAGTGTAGCCTATTTATTGGGACTTGTTATCCCTTTAACTTTATCTTTCTGTCTGAAAATCCTAAATCATTCAAAGCTGTTTCAACTGAGCTTGAATAAGGTCTGAACTATGATTTTTTGTATTCATTATTGACAATTAACTGAGCTTCCATGTATTCCTGCTTTATATTTTGTGACTAGCTTGTTTTCATTTTCACTAGTTTCTTACTGTGACTTGGTAGGGTTCAAGTGATATCGATCAATTAGGAAAGATTTTTTCAGCATTTGGCACTCCAACAGCTTCTCAGTGGCCTGATATGGTATACCTGCCTGATTATGTGGAATACCAATATGTTCCTGCCCCCCCTCTGCGTTCTTTATTTCCGATGGCAACTGATGATGCTTTAGATCTGTTGTCAAAGATGTTTACATATGATCCAAAAGCTAGAATTTCAGTGCAGCAGGCACTAGAGCATAGGTACCTGCCTTCAGCATCCCATTAAGACACCATTAAAGTTCTTTTCTCCATAACAATCTCTCTTCTTCCACTTTAGGTACTTTTCTTCCGCTCCTCTGCCTTCAGATCCAGACAAGCTCCCTAGACCTGCTCCTAAGAGGGAATCTAGGGCTTCTGATTTCAATTTACAGGAGGGTCCTACTGTATTATCACCACCAAGGAAGTCTAGGAGAGTGATGCCAGGAAGCGACGGATTTGAAGGAAATTCCCAGCAAGCAGATAAGGTTGATGGCAGTTTTGGTGATTTCAGACAGAGAACTGATGATAATTCAGGCAAGAATGAATCAGCTCCAATGTCTGTAGATTTTTCTATCTTTGGATTAAAACCTCCAAATAGACCTACAATTAACAGGTACAATAGTATAGATCGTCTAATCAATTCAAAGTAGCCTAATAGTTTGTAATTTTAACCGAGTCAAAAATAAAATTATCCTGCCATGTTCGTTGGTATTGGCAGACAAAAAAGCCAGGCTTATATAGAACCATATTAAACATATCTTAGAATATTTTTCTGGCAAAGTTGCTGATTAGCAATGATGAAATTGTAATATGCTACAACACTATATGTTGTAATTCCCAAGTAGTGGAAGAATGTGCTAATTGTTTGTTACCTTTTAGTTTCTACATGTAAATGATGTTATTTAACTTTAGTTCCTTCTTTTTGTTCTGCAGTGCTGACAGAACATATTTAAAAAGAAAATTAGATATAGAATTTCAACAGCCAGAATGAATATTCTGCGGCCAGCTTATTCACACAAGCTTATGGAGGATAAAATACATTTGAAGAAAAATGGTGAATTCTCGAAGGCTTGTTAGTATGCCATTCTTTATCTCTGTTTCTTTGTGGGAAGCTACTACAACGAATATTTTACTGAAGAAGTAACTGAAGATTAGTTGTAGTTCATATACCTAAAAGTAACTGCTACAGAAAAAAAAAACTTATAATATCATACACTCACTCTGGTTCCGCTTGTACATTTTTGTTCTTTACATTTTCAGAGAACTTGTATACTTGAGTTCATGGAAAACATTGAGTGTGAGGGCATTTTCTCAAGCTGCTGCTGTATGGGGCGCTTGAAAAAAACAATAAATTTTGAGGGAACTTAATTTGAACATAAGAAATGTTATATGCATGTGGAGTGTGTATGTAAGTACTTTATTGGGTGCTTCAGACTGGTGAAGTCCAATTTTAATTTGTTGGATAATTTTTAGTTCTTCTTTTTGGTGTTTTTTATATTTTTATCACTGTTGACATTAATGTCTTAGTTGATTCAGTGGCGATGACTATAATATTTCTGATGCTTTTGTTTGGGTTAGATTTCGCTGAAGGTTTTTATGGGGACGAGACGAGCATGAAAGAAATTGGGTGTGAAAAACATGTGAGATTTATTCTTTATTTTATTAGTCACATCTACGAATTTTCGATTTTCAAAAAGGAAAAAGTCAATTGAAATCCATGGTCCTTCCAATCTTTATTCCATTACTTGTTCCCAATTTAGGGTTCTATACAACATTAGGGAACAAGTTGAGGTTTCTGACGCGGTAATACGCTGTCTCTAGTAGTCAGCGAGGTGGCTGAGCGTTCAACTCTGCTTTGAGCTTTCCTTGCCTAATAATAATTAACAGAGTTGTGTAAATGTAACAACAGGACAAAGTAACAGAAACAAAAATCAGCACATAACGTTGAGAATTTGGAAATTTCTTACTTGTTCCTCCCAATTAGTTCGCAAAGCAATGACTATGTAAAACAACACTTGCACAACAAATGCTGAAATTATCCCCAACCAAAGGCCCTGTGTGATATAAGAAAACTGTTAACATCCACACGGCAACAAACGGCAGATTCGGCGTGTTTACGACAAGAAGTTTTAACCTTGGATTTCATGTGTACAACGAATCCTAACACAACAGCACAAGGAACCCCAACAAGATAAAATGAGGCCAGATTCACACAGGCACCGATCTTTTGCCACCCACATCCTGCAAGAATTCCTGATTTTTGTGGACTCATAAATTGAAACCGTTAATTGGTGAATGAATAATTCCAATGGAGGCCACATTTTCAACATTAGATAGAGATATCTTAATATACCCTTTTCGTCACCACTTCTTTTATAATTGGTTAGAATTAATTAGCAGATTTAGTGATTGGCTCAATCAATGAAAAATGCAATAAGAATATTGTGTCCTTTTATTACGTTGAAATCACGTTCAATGCCAATTTACCACATCTTTTTCAGGTTTACTTCGCTGGAATGTGTGGAAGTGTAACAAATAACCGGTGACTCAAATTTGATTCTTACAGAACAAATTCATGGGAAAAGACGATGAGTTTTAAGCATACCTAAACTCGGACTTGGACTTTTCTAGCTGATATTTATAATCTGAAGGAGGGAATTAATGAATGAAGAAAGAGAGAGAAATACCTGAAAATGCACTTTGGATCCCATCTAGAAAGCTAGAAACGGCCAAAGTTGGCATCACAGCGGACACATATCTGATTACCTCTTTGTCATCACTATAAACATGCCCCCACACATGCCGCAGTAGCATCATGGCTGAAACTAAAATCACCCCTTCAATTAAGGCTATGGACAACACCACCCTAACTGCTACACTTGCAGCTTCTGGATTTCCACCCCCTAGTTCATTTGAGACTCGAATACTGTGAAATAAAACACCAAATTTTCTTTCAACCAATTTCTGTGACTATCAGTTGCATAATGAAAGTGAGAAAAAATAACACTTGCACAAAAATTACCTTACTGCGCCACTGAATCCAAAAGGGATCATCCAAGCTAGACCAAATGTATTAAGGCTGGAAAGATAGGAAATTGATTTTTTTATACCCGCATGAAGGTTTTGCTGTACAATAAAAGCAAAGAATATTCTTGGTTGTGTGTTTGGGTATAGTTCAGACACAAACCATATTGAAAGCACTGAAGTTTCTAATGTTGGGTTAGGAAGAAGACCAGACATGAGGACCATTAGTTCAAATGTCCACACTTTCAAGCTGTTCATAACAAACAAACAAAAGATACATTAGAGCTCCACAAAATCTAGTTAAGAGTACATCATTGCTTAGAAGCAAGGTTTTAAAAAACAATCATGATCACAATTTCGACCGCAACATCAATATTTTAGACTCGTCGCAATCATAACGCGCTAAAAATTGCACCCATAATTTCCTACAACATCAAGAATCAAAATGAAACTGACATCACGGTCGCAATTCAAAACCTTCCTTGAGAGAAAAAAGATTTACCAGAGCATAAGAGCTGAAGGAACAGCGAGTTTAAGGAATTCTAGTAGATTGTGGAAGGCCATCTTTGAAAAGCCTGTCCAAGATTGTTTGCATGAAGAAGAGAACCTCACATACAGGAAAATCAAGATTGCATTTACCCAGTAAGATATTGAATTGGCCAAGGCTGCTCCTCTGCTTCCAAGCCTTGACTTGAAAACCAATAGCCAACACAAAAAGATATGCAGCACAGCTGCAATTCCAGAAGTTACCACCATTGGGAACACAATGTTTTGGGTTTGCAAGAACTTGAGAATGCACTGAAGAAGACCGTAAGCAAATAAACTTGGGATCATGTATAAGGCATATGAGCCAGCTTCCTTGCATATGGCCTTGTCCTGATGCATAGCCTTTAGAATTGGTTCTATGTTGGCCCAGATTATGGCAAGGAACACACTCATAGTTAAAACAACAAACATGGATCTCTGCATGTGTATGCCAAGCATATAGTACTGTCCTGCCCCATTTGATTGACCACAAAATGTGTCCAGTGCAGTAGCTAACCCCATCTGATTGAAAAATTGGCATCAGTTGAGACATATAGTTATTGAAAATTTTAACAAGTCAAAATAATATTCAGACCAAGTTAACAGTTAGTGTGCTCATTGGTTAAAATTCATTACTATGTTAGAAATCATACATGCATGACTTCAATGATTGATGGGCATTGCTTGATGCAAATAAAATACGTAAAAAGTGTGACATGGAAGCTAGTCCTACCAGTAAGTTGAAGCCAGTGACTGATGCAAAGGAAGTGGCCATGGTTGCACCAGCAAGAGGGAGGGTACCAAGACGCCCAACAAATATCACAGAGATTGTTTGCAGAATGTATTGCAGAATTCCAACTGAGAAGAGAGGCACTGCTAACCATAGCTGCCTCTTCACTTCTTCCACCACTTCCTTTCTCCCAATTCTCATATCTTCTCCTTCTCTCTGTTTTCCAATTTTCTTCAGATAATAATTCCGTCTTGTTTCAGTTTCCTGTATGATCTTTTTGTATATCTACGTGATCAGGAATTTATGCAATTTTTTTTTTCAATTTTTTAACTATGCTAAACATTTGTTAATGTGACAGAGGGGAATATGAACATGATTTTTTAAAAATTTATGTAAGTAAAACATTCTTCTGTAGTTATAAAATAGCTTATAAAATAGTTTTAAACTCCCTCAGAGTAAATCAGATTTTTGTCCACAACCTAATTAAGTTAGAAAAAGAATATGATAATGGGGCTGGGTCAGAAATTTGATTAGCTATGTATTTTTGGGACCCTTTAGTCCTTGACACAGGATTTTTCCTTGAACTGTTATGTTAAGATCGTGTCGTCTTTGGGAATGGGGCATGATATTGTACAATTGAGTTTCAGATGGAAATATTCCTTCACGCGAGGTGCGCTTGAATGCCATGAAAGTGTTTCACCGCTTGGATTTTGTACTTTATTAGACCATATTTAATGGTGTGACCGAAGCACAAAAAGAGTAACTGAAAGACTCTTCGTGACCTTTTACTTTTCCATTCTGTCGAGGATCCCGATTAAACTCGTAACGTGGAGATTGATTAGTTTATGAGTTTAACTAGAAAAATCGGAGTTAACAGGAGACGGGTTTCTGCTTCAAAAAATTGGGAATGGGCTCACCTCGACGCCTTTTCACTATTCTCAGTCCGAATTTATATTTAAATTTAAAATTTAAAATATTAATATTTTAAATATATTTTTTTTCTTTTTCTATTATATATAAGATTATTTTTTTAATATTTTACCAATTTTTATTTTTCTTTTATCCATTTTTAATTTTTTTATCTTTTATAATCTTTTATATCAATTACTTTATTACATTATTATTTCTCTTATCTTTCTGCTTTTTACATTTTTTTAATTTCTCCCATCAATTTATTTATTTTTTTAATCTTTTCAATTAATTTAATGAACACAAAGTAAATTTTTTTTATCTTTTTCTAAATATTTTACATAAATCATAATAATAATTAATATTATTTTATTTATAATTTATATTTATTAGTTTTTATTATGTCAATTTTTTTTATCTTATTATTCTTATTTATCATGTATCAAATTTTATCTTAATAAAATAATTATATTTTAAAGGATTAAAAGAAATAGATAATTTAAATTTTTATTACTTTGAATTAATTAAATAAAAATTAACTTATTAAATATTTTCTTATAAATTATATATTTCATATTTTTAAATGACAACTTAACAATGAATTAACTTATATATATAATTAAATGTTTGAATACATTATTACAATAATAATGTTATAAATATTTAAATATTTGAATATAATAATAATAATGTTATAAATATTCTCTCTATATATAAATAAAAAATAATTAAATATTTTTTTACATACATATTTTAATATAAATATAACAAATTAAAATATATATTTAATTAATAATTATAAATTATAAAATTATAAATATTTATTTATATATAAAAAATATACAATAAAATTAATTTATTATAAATATAATTATTTTTTAAAAAATAATATAGACGAGAAATCTAAAACTCAGAAAAAATGAGAATCAAATCAAAACTTAATTTTTAACTTCGAAAAAGATAGAAGACGAAGGTGGTTAGAAAAATGGGGGAAGGAGATCAGTAGACAAACCCCTACCCCCTTGGCGTTAACCTTGATCAAAGCACATTTGTTTTTTTTTTTTTTAATTGACCCCATAATAAATAATTCAACCAATAATAACTAATAATCTAATCAGAAATCAGTGGTAAAAAGAAATTAATAATCTAATAATTTTCAAATCACCACCAATGCTAAATAATAATAGTAAACAGAAAAGGAGGGGCAGGGAGTAGAAACCCTAAAGTGAGAAAAGAAAGAGAAAGAGAGAGCCATGAGAAGAACTATTCTGAGAAATGCAACTCTGTACACTCGCAACCTTCTTCACTCCGCCCCCGCGCTCGCCGCTACTACTCGTCCGCGACCCAAACTTTTCTCTTCCAATGAAACTCTCCCACCGGTTCCTCAAAACCCCGACGACGTCGACAACAAAGGTATCTCTCTCCGTCCTCTTTTCTCATCAATCGGCTCCCTTTGACACATTGGATCACCATTCATTGGGTTTGTGTTGGCAGAGCTGAAGAGGCGAATCGAAAGCTACATGAAAGGCGACGAGCAGGTGCTGCCGTCGATCATGGAGGCGATTCTGCAGCGGAAGCTGTCGGGGAAACACGAAGAGACTGACGACGAGCTTATGGAGGAACTCCGCATGAGCCCCATCGACGACGTCGATGACAGGGACTTCGAGTCCGATTTCGAAGACTCTCACCAAACCGACGAGGAAATCGACGATTTGTACAACGCGAGGGATGTGGTAATGAAGAGGATGGTACAGGATGAGTACTTCAACATGGATGATAAAAAGTGGGATGACATTGTTGAGGATGGAATCAAGCACGGTTTTCTTAGGGACACCAAAGAGTGCGAGGAGATTCTAGAGGATATGCTCAGCTGGGACAAACTCCTCCCTGGTCCGTACTCCATCTCAATTCTATTTCTCTTATTGTTTGTTTTGTGCATAATGCAGAAACCTAAGTATGGGGATAAGGCATTGTGAAAGTAGAAATGTTTACCTTAGGATGAACAACCAAAGGTTCTTCATTGATTATTTCATTTTCTGGTATTAAGACACTAAAATTTGCTTCTTAAGTTCTGTAATGCATATAATAAATTTCGAATGTAATGCATATTCATATTAATAAATTTCGACATGGTCTAATAAATAATTTTGATTTAGAATATAATAAACTAATCAGACCGCATTATGTGTGATTAAAGACACATAAAAAAACAGGCCCTAAATTAAACTATGGCATGAGAAGAACTTAATATCAAATATAGGGATGAAATTACCTAGCACCCACCACTCCAGAGTTAATCTCACAATTAAATGGTCAACGAAAAATAAAGTATGCGAAAAGGTTCATATGTTTGATAGGAGCTCATTATTTTAGTAATGTTTTAAGTAATACATTGTTGTAAAATCGATCCCTTGCATGATATTTCCAATAGAACTAATGTTTATAAATCTCAATCAACCCAATAGTGACAACTTGAATCATTATTTGGTTTCCATGACCTTTATGCAGCAAATATCAGCATACGAGTCAGCCTTTTCAAGTTGTTAATGTAAAAACAGAGAACCTTCCCATAACATTGGTTAGTCTTTGGTGTGTAAGACATTCCAAATGGATTAGTAACAACATTAGTCAAACTTATTAGATTTTATTATCTTAAAAAATTAATTTCATGTGATGACAACAACGCAAAGTGTCAAATTGATTCTTGTACTGAGCACAGTAATAAATTCTCTGTGACCATTTTCCACGTTCAATCTATCTTCAATATTCAAGTGCACCTCTTCAACCAATAATCTTAGAATTCCATTCTAGTGTTTTGCATGCCTATAGACTTAATCCCATTCACAGGTTTGTTTCCAAAATTTGAACGAGAATTCTATATTGAAACAATTATATTCCATGCCAGTATCATACATTCAAAGATGACCAAGAGCATTGCCATTGCGTTCAACAAGTTATTCAAATTTGCGTGTACATGGAATATTATCTAGTTGCAGATTACTAGGACTATTGGGAAAAACTTCTTCATAAACACATTTAAAAAATCAAATATGGTCCTGTTGTGCTCATATGTACCGAAAATTGTCTGGAAATTTCAAAATTGAATCCTTAACTTCCATGGTTCTGTTGAGCACTGCTTAGGCTAGTGCTACGCACATATATAATTAGTCCAGAGTCAGTAGCTTTATAACCAAGTTCCTCATTAGAAATTTAAGTCATTCAAATTTGAATTAAGCATGAAAAACTCTTACAAAGTGGATCTAGTATTCTTTTACCTTCTTTTATGCCCTGTAACCTAATCAGATTGGATGGAATGAAAACATTCAAAACATTACCTATCATCCACCATCAACAACCAAAGTAAAACAAATTATTTCTAACAAAATGGTTAAAATAAGTTCTTTACCACTCTGCGGATCAATCCAAGTCACAACCACCCAAAACCTTTCTCTTCCTCAAAAAGAAAAAATGTCCTCCAATATGTACTATCCTAATGGACAAGGCAAATGAAAAACAATCTAACCCTACAACACAAAAATAGAGGACAATGAGACAGGCAACAATCCAAATCACATATAAAAGAGAAACACAATTAACACGCACTGAGAACAGAGGAAGCGCGAAGCAAGTCCATGGCGATACTGAAATTGTTTAAATGATGGAGAATGGTAGATATCCTCTCCCTGCCTCTCCGGCAACCAAATGGAGGGGGTCTCTCTCTCCCATAACTATTTCCTTATTTTGATTTTCTTGGAGGCTCGATTTCCTTATAGTTTCTGAAACACCAAGCTCTGTATAACTAAATTGATAAAATAACTAAAATTGAAAGGACAAAACGTAAATATGGTTTCTTGTGTAAGTTCGCTTAAAGATTGGCATAATCTATTAATGTGAACTCTAATTTAGACTGGAAAACTGGACTAATGTTTAACCAATTGTTTTTAAATATATCTAAATCATAGTTGGGGGGATCAAGTCCTTTTACCACAGTTGCTTGTTGACATGTCTCAGTTTTTTATGTTACTGTTTTTGGCTGTTAATGACATCCCTTCTGTAGTGAATAGTAATTAAGGTTAGAGAAGAATGTAAATACCCAGTCTCTGTTACTCTTTTGTTGGGTAGTCAGTCCACTTTTAAGCGATTTGTAGATTTCATTAGAATGTCAGATCTTATTATGTTTTGTGCTTGACATTTTTTGCAAGTTCCAGCAGAATTGTGATGAGATGACCATGCATTTTTGTTTTCATTTTAGATGATTCTTCTATGTGGATGTTTGAATTATAACGTGTTCATGAATTGTCTTTAGAAGTAGATAATATGCTATTTGGGCTGATTTTCTTTGGTTTAATGTCTTATAATAGATGATATAAAGCAGAAGGTGGAAACAAAATTTAATGAGCTAGGGGACATGTGTGAAAGAGGAGAACTTGAACCTGAAGAAGCTTATGAACAATTTAAGAAGTTTGAGGATGAGATGGTAGCAGAATACATGAAGATAATGGAAAAAGAGGAGGTCCCACAGATTGATGATCCTGCTGTGCAGGATAAGAAAAAGGATTTGGATGATCCACCAGGTGAAGGTCCAATTTTGCGGTGGCAAACTCGCATAGTCTTTGCCCCTGGTGGTGATGCTTGGCATCCAAAAAATAGGAAAGTGAAACTGTCTGTTACTGTAAAGGAGCTAGGGCTTTCAAAATACCAATTTCGCCGCCTCAGAGAATTGGTTGGAAAACGTTATCATCCGGGGAGAGATGAGCTTACAATAACTAGTGAGAGGTAAAGTTCTATCTTTATATAAAAAATCATTCATTTATTATTTGATCTTGCAGAATTGGGTATGGCCTTAGTTCCTTGGAATCAGCCACTTTTGTGTTTAAGTTTTCTTTTCCATATTTTTAAGGTATGAACATCGAGAAGAAAACAGAAAAGACTGCTTAAGGACACTTCTCTCTCTCATTGAGGAGGCAGGAAAAGCTAATAAATTAGTAGATGATGCCCGATCTTCATATGTAAAGGAGAGGCTCCGTGCCAATCCAGCTTTCATGGAGAGGTTGCGTGCGAAGTCCATGAGGTTGCGTGAATCTAATCAGGTTACAGCTTGAAGCTTTCAGATCTGGTGTATGAATTTTTGAACATTCACCTCTTATAAATTTTTATTGCTCCCAGATTTTAGTTTCTGTCATGATTATTATCTTTATTTTTATATTCGAGCCTTATCATGAGTTCCAGTTGCGGAAACGAGCTCTACGCTAAGAGGATAACGCTTCATTTTGATCCTTCCTAGACCCCATAACGGTAGGAGACTCATGCAGGGCTGATCTGTTAGTCATATCTTCCGTATTTAGTGCTTGAATAATGGATAATATTTTCTTCTATCAGATATTGTTGCTAGTTGAATCAAATGTTATGCTTTTGAGGAGTAACATTGATCTTAGAAAAAGGCTGGATGATCTCAAACTAAAGCAAGGATTGTTAATATGTTATATCTTAATCACAATAAAATTGATCAGATTTTTCATGGTATTTTTCTTTTTTACTGATATTATCTGTTTTTTCTTTCAACAAGTAGTTTACAGAATAAAGGACAAATAGGGCATCAACTGCGACGAAATTTCTGTATTGAAAGGAAGATGATGTTTGATAATGGTTTAAGTTAATAATAGTCATTACAGAACGAAAGCTGAAGCGTTTAAGGCACCGCTTTTGAGGCATCATGTATTGATAAAAATCTTAGGCTATGTCCTGTGTTTGGCTAAAGATTTATTCTAGGAAATAATGGTTTTTTGTTTTTTCAAAGTTCTCTTGTAAAATTAATTATTATAATAAAAAACGTTATTTAATTTGTTTGATGGTGGGATTTTTTTACTTTGAGATATGTTCTTTCAACGCTTGACGATTAGTTCACATTTTACTAGCAAGTGAAATAGTAAATCTGAAAATTGAGTTATCAAGTTGCTTGTACTTGAGTGATGTAACTAACAGGAACGCAATTCAAACTTTATATGGGGGACATCATGCACCTGCTACTTCAAAAAAAATTATAATGCTTTTGATATCCATTTTCTGCAGAGCAGTAATTTTGTCTTAAAGAAATTGTTAGATCTGCAAGCTTCCGAATTAGTATTCTCTGGTATCAGACAAACAAGCTAAGAAGATAAGAAAAATCAGGGAAATATTATAATAAAATAATGACTGATTGAAACATTAAAGGATATTTGCAATCGTTTGTGATGAACTGTGGACGAAGTGCCATAAAATAAGGTGGTTGTTTGAACATTTTGCAAGGATGGGGTATGAAAGATTAATCCATTCAACGTCCATAGATATTTGATTCAGTACGAGACAAAGATACGCATCATCTTGGTGTCTATGGGTTAATTTTAAATCTGTAATTTTTGATGTCGGACTCTGTTAGTTGGGGTGCACGAGGCTTCGTCTAATGAAGCTATTAAAATTGAGATGGATTTTTTCCCTACAGAGATAGTAATTTAATCCCATAATGAAAGGGGCAAATCAATTTTGATTTACTAATTTTCAGCTTCTGATTAGAAAATCATAGAACTAATTTAAATTGTGTAATATGTTGAAGCAAAACCGTCTTGATGTGTATCAGAATATATAGCAAGGGAAGGGGCATAATAAGAGACAATGGTGATCAAGAGAGAAAATGTAAAGAGAGGATATATGACTATTATTACTACAATTATGGTGTCTTCATAATAGGCCTTCAAGAGTATAATTCATCTTAAACACAGTCTATATCAGCAAATTTGATTAACTTAAACAGGTTCCCTGAGAAACTACCACATCTATGAATAAAGTACACTAGACACATCTCTTCCATTAAATGCCAGGTCTTAAATATGAAAAATAGTTGTCCCCCAATGAATTGTTGCAAGTGAATCATCTAGGTAAGTGTATGTGTATCTACCGCTATAGCAAAAGAATGCATCAGCATATGGATACAACTTTTTGCTGCTTAAATGCAAGTATAGAAGCTGCTCAGCCAGCCATTGTGGAAATGCTCGTATTGAATTGTGCCACAATTCTTGATAGACTTGATGCAATCACCCTTCACAAAAACACGGGCTCTGATCTATACCTGTCATATTAAGGTTCTCTCAATGGCTCTGTACACTCGCTACTGGAATTATGGCTGAAGATCCTTGAATTAATGGTACCATAGCCTTCAACTGGACAAATTCTTCCTCAGTATATAACCCTATTAACAAATCCATCCAAGGTAGTCTTCTGAGGGCAGATAAACTCCATTTAGCGCCACTCAACGATTTCTTCCTACTTTTCTTGTTGCTCTTCTTCAAAAGCACTGAAGCATGGTCAATATCATCGAATGAATGGCTATCCCCTTTTAACCATAGAAGAGCCTCAGCAGCAGCAGATTTTTCTGCTAACTTTTTGCTGCTGCATGGCTGACCAGCAAAATTCAACCCATTAAATGACAGTAGAACGGAATTGTAAGTTCTTAAGCTGCTTTGTTTTGTAAGTTGGTGATTCATGTCCAGCCCTGTTGAGAAATGTTTGAAGTTGATTTTTAGAATTTTCACCCCCGACTCCTCTTTTAGAGTTTGGTTCCTTCTTTACTTGTGGTAGGACCCGGAAACCAAAGACAAATCTACCATCACAATGGTCCTTAGAAACCAACAATCTGACAGCTGGAAGAAGCTCACTATGCGATTGTGTTTCCAGCGTGGTATCCAGAAGCTGGCAAAACATGCAAATCATAAAGCAAATATTCAAGGACTTCGAGAGAAACCAAAAATTGATGGAAGAATGTGGCTACACAAACAATTCCCAGAAGAAAATGATAATCACGGATTGAACCTACCTTTTTCTGTATCAATGCTTCCAGTTCCATCTTTAAGCTTAAGTATGTCTTGGCTAATTTTGGTTTCATGAAAACCTCCAAAGTGTGATATGGAAGCTAGTCCTACCAGTAAGTTGAAGCCAGCGACTGATGCAAAGGAAGTGGCCATGGTTGCACCAGCAAGAGGGAGGGTACCAAGATGCCCAACAAATATCACAGAGATTGTTTGCAGAATGTATTGCAGAATTCCAACTGAGAAGAGAGGCACTGCTAACCATAGCTGCCTCTTCACTTCTTCCACCACTTCCTTTGTCCCAATTCCCATATCTTCTTCTATCTGTTTTCCAATTTTCTTCAGATAATGATTCTGTCTTTTTGTATATCTACGTGATCAGAAATTTGTGTAATTTTTTTTTTCAATTTTCTAACTATGTTAAACATTTGTTAATGTGACAGAGGGGAATATGCACATGATTGTTTAAAAATGTATGTAAGTAAAACATTCTCTTGTAGTTATAAAATGGCTTATTTATTTAAATAATTTCGTGGATATAAAATCTAAACATGACTTTTTATCTGATTTTTTTAACTCCGTCAGAGTAAATCAGATTTTTGTCCACAACCTTATTAAGTTAGAAAAAGAATATGATAATGGGGCTGGGTCAGAAATTTGATTAGCTATGTATTTTTGGGACCCTTTAGTCCTTGACACAGGATTTTTCCTTGAACTGTTATGTTACGATCGTGTCGTCTTTGGGAATGGGGCCTGATATTGTACAATTGAGTTTCAGATGGAAATATTTTTTCAGGCGAGTTGCGCTTGAATGCCATGAAAGTGTTTCACCGCTTGGATTTTGCCCTTTATTAGACCATACTTAATGGTGTGACCGAAGCACAAAAAGAGTAATTGAAAGACTCTTCTTTTCTAATTGTACCTGCACAAAAGAAATAAAAAGAACATTGTTACCAATATTTTCACTCACCAAGTTAGCATAAGAGAAATGCTATTACTTGCAGAAGCATCTGTAACCTTATGTGGTTCCATTTATTTTTTCAAGAACTTGATTGACTCCATGTTGCTACTTGTATTAGCGAGTAGTGTGTTCTATTAATCTCGTGAAACCTGCATTGTATACCCTTTTATGGTCCAATTCAGTGTTCATACTCTGTATGTTATCTCCCGCCTTGTGGATCAACTAGCTGTCTGACACAATTACTCAAACATTCATACAAGGTGGCTTTGGAAAACAATCTTGAGCACCAATAATGTACAATGTCCAGGTTTTAACATTATTACTGTCTGTATGTCTTAATTAGACTTTATAAGAAGAAACATTGATCAACTTGACAAAAAACAAATTAAAATTAAACAGAAAGTTCAAGTTTCCTGCACTGAGTGGAATGATTAAAATAAACAATATACATCAAGACATAGAAGGAGCAAGGAGTAGCAAAGTTGCAGATTGCAGTACAGTTCATGATCCGTGGTGTTTCATATTCTTCCTCTGCTACTACTCACTGTCTTCTATGTTGCTGTGATATCTCTTTTGTTGTTTTCCTTTCTTGATTCTATAGATTATAGTCTTCTGTTTCATTTTTCTTAATTGTATAATGAAATGTTACTTCTGTTGTATTATAATAAAACAATTTATCTAAATATACTATAATTTATGTTAGGCACTCCTTATTTTTTTTCCATTGGAAGTGAATTTTGGCTCTAATGCCCTTTTCCTTCTCTTCTTTAGGTAATAAGATTGAACTGTAGTTCAGACTTCAGAGTTGAGGATTAGTTTTATCATGGTTTAATTTCAAAACTCGATCTAATCCTGGATTATTAACAAAGTGACAATTTTGAGAAAAAACTAGAGCATCCACCAGACAAAATCCAAGGCATGAATAAGAAGTTGGTAATTTTGTCGAAGGAGACAAAGATGTAACTGAGTGAAGAAACTAAATGCTATATTGCTATTTCAAAGCTACAAACATATAAAGACAGATATTTTCATTTGAGAGACTTGTGTTTGATTGAATGAAAGGTTTGATTCTCTTGGCATGTACCGAAACTCTCTTCCTCAGAAGACTATGACCTCTGCTGTCATTGAATTGTAGATTCTTTCTTTAGCCTTCTTTGCCTGAAAATGAAAGGAGATTCCAGAAAATTACAACCACATCACTCCTCAGAGCTCATCAAATAAAAATTTAATAAGATGCAGGAGATTCTTTCTTTACCTCTTGCTCCCAGTCAGTACGTGCTGTAATGATAAAAAGGCATGACACTTGAAAAACTAGTGCACATATGATCCCCAGCCAAAGCCCCTATAAAAGTAGGATGACATGAAAATCGCAAAACTGAATAGACTGAATCAGAAAAATATTTGATTTGTTTTACCTTCCCACCAATGTGCATGACAAAAGCAAACAAGATAGCTGATGGAATCCCAACTAAATAGTATGATCCTAGATTAATGAAAGCCCCTTTCTTTTGCCAACCACATCCCCTAGCTGTGCCTGAATTAATGTCCACACAAAGATGTTTAGTCTACAATCTAAATTAAGCTACATACAACATTTTATCTTCTTGTTCTTCAAGATAATGAGTTACAAGTAATTCCACACAACATAGATTTATTTGTATTGATCACAGAATTTCGGTACTGAAAGGAAACTTTCGACTTTGAGTGAAAAAATGTTACAGCATTATGTGTTGGAAGATTTACTATTCATTCAGACATGCCTCAGTTAGGACAATAAGTAAAAGAAATATAAACAAGAAAAACCTGAAAGAACGCACTGTAGTGCATCCAGGAAAATGGATATTGCAAGAATTGGCAACATGATGGCTACATATTGGACCACTTCTGCTTCATTACTATATGCATAGCCCCAGATGTTGCGCATTAGTATCATCACTGCTCCAATTAAAGTTCCCTCGATAATGGCCATTATAAAGACAAAGTACACAGCTAAACGTGCAGCCCGTGGTTGACCAGCTCCTAGTTCATTTGAGACACGAGTGCTGCAAAAAATCTAGCAATGTATTACTACAACAACACTACACCTATACAGAAGCAAAAGACAAGTACTAAAAGGAAAAGTACGAAGAGGACAAAACACTTTGACAACTTGGTAATCTTTAGAAAATTGATCATGTCATTGAAAAATTGCAAGAGCTACTCACCTTACAGCCCCACTGAGTCCAAAGGGGATCATCCAAATAGTTGTCGAAGTATTCAGACTGGTTAAACAGAAATTGGATCGTAAAAGCAAAACCAATGTCAACTTTCATGTATGTGCAGCAGCTTAAACCATAAAAGAGAAAAGATAAAAAAAATGCATCACACTCTCTAACATTCTCTTTCAAAACATTTTTTATATTGGCTGAAATATATTATAAATAGAAATTTTTTGAGAATATCACTTCTTGACATGTTTTACTAGTGTTTTTGACATTCAAACAAATTAACCAATGTTAGAGTGTATAAGAAACTGCGTTGCTAGTCTTCAATATATAAAAATATTGTATCGAAATAAATGTTGAATATGATTCGGTAATACCGACTAACCAGATAGAAAGCACTGATGCTTCTAATCTTGGATTTGGAAGAAGGCCAGAGAGGAGAACCATCATTTCAAATGACCACATTTCCAAGCTGTTCGGGATCATATATATAAAAATTGGAAAAAGAAAATCAATATCCTAAAGAAATAATTTTATAGGATTGGGAAAAGTAACAAAATGTAACTTTAACATGTAAGAGTTGTTGGTAAAAAATGTATGAAGAGAATATACCAAACCATAACAGCGGAAGGAATTGCAAGTCTAAGAAAAGAAGGGATGCCATGCAATGCCTCTTTTGAAAATCCAGTCCATGTTTTTGAACATGAAGGAGAAAACTTGACATAGAGTATCAGGATCAAGACATTTATCCAGTAGGATATAGCATTTGCTATGGCAGCTCCCCTGTTCCCTAGTCCAGATTTGAATACCATAGTCCAACATATAGCAATATGCAGTAAAGTAGTGAGTCCAGAGCTAAACACCATTGGAAATACAATATTTTGGGATTGCAAAAATCTGTTCAGGCACTGAAGAAGGCCATAGGTAAAAAGGCTTGGAATCATTAACCGAGCATATTGTCCAGCTTCTGCAGATATTTCAGGATCTTGGCCAAGGGCAATTAGAATAGATGTTGTGTTTGCCCAAATAAATGCAAGGTGTATGCCAACAATCATAAGAACAAGCATAGCCCTCTGCATGTGTATGCCTAACATATGGTGCTGCTTTGCTCCATATGATTGGCCACACAAGGTATCTAAAGCACTAGCCATCCCTACCTGCTTGAACAGAAAAACAAACACATCTCAAGAAACAATTACTTACACATTAGTATTTGGAGGTTGATTGTCATAATGATAATAAATAATAATTTTAGGAGTCTTTTCTGTCTTTGTAATTCAACATTGCTTGGAACTAAACTTACTTGTACTCTTTTTTCTTTTTTTGTTGTTTCATAGATTAATATACAACTTGTTTGCTTATGAAATTGTTCCCTAATGTAAAGTAAACCGGTGTCATTATTTGCTTTCATTCCCAACAACCAAATAACAGATAAATGGTAATTATACCAAATTTAACTTGGACCAATTATATGTTGCTGCTCTATATATTACATCAAGAAAACAATAACGAGAAAAGGTTTGTTTATCCTCCCTAACATACTAACATTTCTTTAAGATATTAAACACAAGAAATTAAGATTTCACAAAAATAAATAATTAGAGTTCAGCTACACATGCTATATAACCAGTACAAAACATAGAAAACCAATGAAAGCACAACTCACCAATAAGCTAAAACCAGTGACAGAGGCAAAAGAAGTAGCCATTGAAGCAGCAGCGAGAGGGAACTGGCCGAGAT